GATTCCAACTCCGAACAACGACAAGTATATATTCACTTCAAGCAAGTCATTCTGACCTGAAGTGAATATATCTGCACTTAGTGTTGGTGCTGGTGAATCAGATAAAAGTCCTAAATTAACTTTTTTAATTAACTTTTTAATGTGTTTTAATTGTATTACCAAGGTACAAAAAGCCATGCATTAAAGTCAGATATATGCATTTTCATTTAATACAAATAAACTAAAGCATTTTCATTCAAAAAGTCTATGTTCAATATCTCCACCTCACTTAAACATAAAGAATATACATACATTGTTATATGATATTGTGTTGACTAGAAATGTAAAGTACTGCCAAATGTGAATAGTACACTGTGTCGTTTAAAGCCTGGCATTCTCTGATCAGAATGATTGTCTCAGATTAAGCAGCCAGTAAAACACCAAACTGCTTTACGACCTGCATGTTTAACTCCTTCAGCAGCTACCTAGGAGGCAAAGCTTTTTTCCTGCTCAGTTTACTAATGATAAAATTGGCCACAATCTGCTCAAAGGGAGCCTTTGTTGCAAGGCAGTGATCCCAGAGGTGTCAGCATCATCTATAGCATGGAGGTAAGGGCAAGTGTTGTGTACAGTTTGAAAACTGCAAAGAGATGAGCTCTATTCAACAAAAAAATGTTTTCCTATAACAATGAAAGATGGATTAGAAAAAAACAAAATACAATCGTGTCATTAAACGGAACATTGATGTAACAACAAATGGTATTGGAAAAAATTGCTCATCAAATGGATGAAACACAAAGATAGTAAAAGATCAAGATGTTCAGTCGCCATATAGACCAAGCTGGATAACCTTAAAGCACGTATGCCAAGGAGAAACCAATCTGCTGGAGGCTTTCACATGCAGCCTGTGTTTCCCGACAGTATTACTTCTGGGAAAGGTGACAGATACACTGAAGCTGAACCTTTCAACAGCACTATCTTATGCAAGGGCTCTTCTTACATTCTGTAAAGAACGTCTTTGTAACTTTTCCTTAATCCTCAAATGTCTTCATCCTGACAACTCACAATTTTGCAAGTCAATTAATATTAACAAAGGTAAGAGCCAAGGTGAACTGTGCAAAACTATTCGTAATAGTGTTTAGCCTGAGTCAGATTATGAGCTTTTTTTGGGTGTTTTGTGGAATTGAATGTTTTCCTTTTCCTTCTTTTTAGCCTTGTCTTTCCTAATTAGCAACTTAAACCCACAGCAGGAGAGAGCACCCCACTATCCATGCAGGAAGACAAGGAAGCCTTACTATTGCCCAACAAAGAAGAGTAGTAGAGGAATTTTCGTTAGAATGAAGCCCCCCATACGCCTTTAAACCCCACTGTGAAATTACAATGGCACAAAAGAGGTGCCAGCAGGGATGCAAACTCATAACTGGAAGTGTCACCCTAAAAAAGTACTCAGTAGTTCCTGCGATAAGGTGAAACAAAAGTTGAACATAAGCTCCCTTGTCATGGCCACCCATTAAGAAAACACCTGTCCACACTACCATGTCTTTCTTGTGATGTGGGGCGCCTGAAGGATGTTTCAAAGCTTTAATCAATACCGCCTTGTGTTGGTGCAGGCCCCTGCACTCACTGAATGCGTGTGGAGAAAAGGGGCTGCTGGCAGCATGAAACGCTGGACCCATCCATGCTGTCAGAGCGGAGTGCTGCTGCCTATTTCATATGGAAATCAATGCAGCAGAATGCAGTCAATTGCCAAACAAGTGACTTTGGCTCTCACTGCTACACACAAAACATTGAAAAACCGAGGGGCTTTGGCAGTGGCATGGGAGCAAGGGGGAGGAATAAATAGAGTGTGGACTAAAGGCTTGGTGTGGTTGAAATTGAGGAAAACCCAACATGGTTTTTGGTACGTGCCCTAACAAAAGCATGAGTGAAAAGAATCATAAATGAAGCTGTCACAATGCGATGAGACAGCCACAGGACAACTTATTTCTCCTGTGTACAGTGAGTCACCGCTCACCGTTTATCCTCAGCGTCTGTAACCTGGGGGCTGCTGGAAAGGAAAGGATTTGCTCTCGATTTGTGCCAACTGTGTCCCCGTTTCGAATGCAGTGTAACTGTTGCACAAGGATTTAGGCTCCTATACCGGATAGAAGCCGGCATGCGTGAGGTTTAACATGCACGTGCAGGCAACGTTTTTGAGTCTTTAAAAATGTTATCACAACAGAATACTTTTTTACAGTCAATACAGACCGAACGGAAGGATAGGCATGATCGAATCAAGGCACATTAACCCCGGTGACATCTGAATAATAGCTGACGATTGCATTAACAATCTGTTCTTCTGTTTCACATTCCTCTTATGAAGTAAACAAAACGTAATAACTAACACCATTAAAGGTCTTACTTTGCACTTACTATGTTATTCGGAGCTCAGTGGCAAATTATTTACAGAGAAAAACAACTTAATGTATAGGGTCAAAATATGTGTGAAACAGCAAAAATGGCAAAAGATGGTTAACAAAGCAGTACCGTGAAATCCCCTCAAAATGTCACATTAGCTATTCATGTCGGTGTAAGCATTCTGCAGCAGTATCAAGGCCAACGACTGGATAATGTGTTACAAAAGGTCATGGAATAACAAGTATCAAACTAAAAGGTTTTTATGGAGGATCAAACAGGGTTTAGAGAATGTATCCAGAAGTGACCATTCATTCAGTCCCACACCACCAGGAGGAACTTGATAACATGGAATGGTTATGAAACTAGGTCAACAATAAATCACTGAGAATTTTATAAAAAAACTGTCTACATCACTATTTACTAATCACAAAAATCCAAGCTAATGATCACTATGAACATGCTGACAAAGTTTACTGAGAGTCTGTGGTTTTATTCAAGTGGTCATTTTGTACACCTCAGTAATCATCTGCAAATGTTAGCTACACTGTGACTGCTGTAATTCAAAGGAAATGCCAGCTGAATTTTCTAAATGCTACAGTCTCCCTGTCAACACTGTTATATTGTCTTTTTGGCATAGACAGTCCAGCTTTTCTTTCATGTTTGTGTGTCTGTTAGACAGTGAGGAATTTGGTCCAGGATATTTTATACAAATATATATAAGAAAGCTGTAGCCATGACCTTTCTCTTGGTACAGTTTTTACTCAACTCCACACTTCTCCTTAAGTAGAAATGGGTTCATTCTGCAGCAGCTGCAGTGTAATTAGTTGCTTGATTCACACTAAGGAGCTTACATACTAAGGGTTGAGCAAAAAGAAAGCAGATTACAATTTGAGAAGTAGGCTCTAGCTGTGCTACAAACGCAGGAGACAAACACAAGACTGTCATGTATAAGAGCAGTATCTGAGTGTTTTATTCCTGTCTGCTGTCTTACATTAGGAAATACATTTGCTCCTGAAGCTAGAATCAAGTTTTGAATTAGTGGTTCGCAGCGTCAAATCTGCTCCACTGAATGAGATTTGTACCAGTAGCTTTCAGTCCTCACAGATTGTCTGTAAGTCACATGCTCTTTTCTGTTACCTAGCAACAGTAAAGCTCAGGCAAAAGTTCCTCAAGAGAACTTCCAATCTGTCTGAGGAAGGCTTTGTGCTCAACCTTTAAAGTAATACTATGTGCTACAATGTTTAGCTCCAGAGCCAGAAAAACATTACTTAGTGGCCACGACACAATTACTGGAGGACATTGTGTAATTAATGTAACGGTGGGTTTATTAACAAGGTTGTTCCTTTGTATTTCATTCATTTAACCTGTTTGAATTACCATTAGGTACTCAAAATATATTGCTTTATCCTAAAAATACATAGGCTAATCATTATCAATCAGCAACACTTCAATTCCCCATCACTGTTTTGTTTTGATGTGCAACAAGTGCACAAGGGAATAGCACAACAACTCAGCAGGTCCTCAATGAATCATTCAGCTGACAGCCTGTGTGAACCAAAGAAACGTGGAAGCAAAATCCCACTACTCACCTTCAGAGTGGCACCATCTCACAGAGCATATGAAGACGAGGAAGAGTTGTAGCAGCAGTGCTCTCCACATTCTGGCTGGTCCGTCCAGCTCCACTCTGCAGATGGAGGAGCTGCAGGGACTGGGGCTGGGATGCTGGTGCTTTCTTCTGTCTGCCTTTCTTGGCCCGCTAGTTGATGAAAAGGGGCGTGCACAAAGGCCCGGGACAGCCCAGCCGCTCCCCCCAAGCCTGCCTCGGCCCTCCGGATAAATCCCTCTGGCCCTGGAATCTGCATAATACCATGCAGCCAGGTCCGACTTGTCTCGAGCATAGTGCCAGTGATTTTCACTCACACGGGGCTATATCCACGCTGTTTACTTGCCCCGCACTTGGGAGGTTGCACACGGTCACTTGTAAAGAAAAATAATGATGGGAGTTAAACAAATACAAACTAACGAATGAAAAGAGTTACATTTGGTTGCACTGAATCCTAAAATGCCAAGACGGGTCACTTAATCCTAACATCTCTGGTTCGGGTCCAACCAAGGAACCGTGTTGCATTCTGACACACAGTCACACACATAAAGATTGATAGGCCTACAAGAAGATTGCAAGTGATTGTAAGAGTGTAACTTATATTACAAAAATGCCTCAATTTGACATAGGGCCTACATTCATTTTCGAGTACAACCGGTAAACCTCAGGTCCCTGGAAAATAAATGCTTCCCGAAGTGACACAAATAAACAATTAGCATAAGAAGTTAAATCAACAGAAGGCAGCGACATATCTGAGAATGAGAAGTGACTCGCAAATACGGTAGCTTGGCAAACTAAAAACGTAACAAGGCGAAATTGAGTTGAACAGTTTTATAGCATAATAAAATACTCGTTCTTTTACAGTGTTTGGTTCTTCCACAATAACATTTAGAGCCATACCTTCAGCGGCTAATCAAAGGCTCACCAGCTCCACCTTGCGGCCGGGCAGCGGAACAGCAGCGCTTCATCTGTTGCTAAATAACAGGCAGCTCGGCTAAAATAAGTGTTGCCATTAGCGACCGAGCAACTGAAAGTTGGAGAAACTTGAAGCAAAATTCAAACTAAGTTGTTGTCAATATAAAACCGGGATTTGCTCAACATGACAACTCCACAAAGAAATGCAGACAACTTCATGAAGTTGGAGGGCAACACGACGGAGGTATGACAAGGTTTTTGACGGCAACGACAAATCTGCGGAGTCCTCCGTTGGTGTCTCTAGACCGAGCTTAACTGTTACTAGCTAATTTAGCTAGCTAACTCTCTAGTTAGCCGTCTCCTGATTACACTTTGTTTTCGCAACATTGCAGGAAAAATGTTGTACTCCACTTGCATGACATTTAATTGACAAAAACACCTACCCAAACTAAAACAGTAAAGAAACGTTTTCAAATCCAATTCGACCACTTACGTGTAAAGGCAATTCTAACGTTATAACAATCCAGTGAGCTTTAAACAGGTGGAAGCAGTACTGCAATTAATCACTTAGCTAAAAGTAGCAATACTACAGATGAAAAATAAAATTACAAGTACTTCATTCAAAATAGTTCTGACGTAGAAGTAAACATTTATTAGCATCAAAATATATTTAAAGTAGGCCTACCAAAAATAATCATTAGCCTATGCAGAATGGCACATTTAAGCACTGAATATATTTTAAGTAAATGTAAAGTTACATTCCACCACTGGGTATACAACTATATCATTGACAGGAATTATTCTGCCCCCTGAGTTATTTTATTTGTTCTTCCTGGTTGCATTTAACTGATGTTCTTTACTTGAATTATTATATGATATGCATATGTCCAATTTGTATTCATGTTATATATATTTTATTCCTTCCAATAAAAGTGATGACTATTTGACCTATCAAATATACTAGCTTATTGTTGGTGTACTTTATGTGCTGTTGTTCAAAAACACAGCATACCTTTACTGAGAAGATGCCATAAACACCTGTGTAACATGTTATAACACAGGGCTTTTCCCTTATTCCAGCATATGGACGGTATTCAGAAGTCACTGGAGAGACTTCGAAGCTTTTCTGTGGAGGATGCCACAGAGACAGGGCTGCTGCGGTCCCGGATAGACGAACAGTCAGGTCTGATCTGCATGCTGAAACAGAGAGCAGATGAAGTGCTTCTTCGATGTATAGCCCTGCAAAAAATCAATACGGAGTCAGAGGAACAAGTAGCACAATACCAGAAAGAACTTGACAGTGAAAGAAAGAAAGCTGAGCTCATAGAGAAAAGATTTATGGATTTAGCCTCAAACAATCAAGCAATAATTGCTTTCATGGACGAGCACAAACATCAAAATGTTCAGTTAAAGCTGGTAAACCAACAAATGCAGTCGGAAAACAAAACACTTTTCTCCAAAAAACTACAAGATAAAGAAGTGTTTGTTCAAAAACTGATGCAAGAAATCAAACAGCTGACAGAAAAATATGAAAAAAGGGAAAATGAATATAGGTAAGAACTATTATCCGTTCATTATTAATACTGCTAAAAGGTTGATCAACAGCATTTTGATCATCTGAGTGATTCATCTGTCCAATCTGCCAAACATTTCTTGTTTGAAGCTTTTAAAATATGCGTTTTTCCCCATTTTTTGTTATTCTAAATTACATTTTCTCCAATATCAATCTTTCAGTGTGGAATTAGCTGGATGCAAGTCTAATATCCTGGAACAAACAATGCAGCATGAAAACAAGGAGGCATCCCTACTTAATCAATTACATGATTCTCAGCAACAACAAAGAGATGCTGTAGAAATGTGCAACGGTGGGTAGAAATTGTGTATCACTCTCTGAAGTGCTTCGAAGCACAAGCACTTGTAAACGCATGACCTTCTCTCCTCAACCAGACCTTCAGCAGAAGCTACAAAAAGCAGAAGAAGAGTATGCTTTGAAGGAAAGCAACATGAGAGAAAGCATAACAAGCCTCACCAAAGAGAAAGACAAACTACTCTACTTGTCTATGGAAAGGGGGAAAGTAATTCAGGTGATTAAAAATAGTATTTGTTCTCATTAATCAAAGCTCTTTACAGACCAACCAATAACTTTGCTCTTGAATACAGGAGAAACAAGAGGAAATCAAGCAGCTGGAGACTAAATGGAAAGAGGAGAAAAAAGCCTGGGTCAAAGCAGAGCACAGGTAAATACATGGTGTGTCAAAAGTACACAACTGCTTGAAGAACCTGAATGATAACAATTGTTGTCCCCGCCTACATTTGTCCCTGCCAGATTTGAAAAGGAAGCCGAAGCTGTTAATGCAGATGTTAAAGTGAAGTCTCTCCAGTGTGCACTTGATGAATCCATAAAATCAAATTGGAAGCAGAGAAAGGTTTGTTTTAATCTGCAATATTGAAAAGCGATTCAAAGTGCTTGTATATCGCTGAAAAATACTAAACACCATTTCCATAACTTTACAGGATTTTGAAGCCTTCAAAGAACACAGCACCAACCTCCTTATGCAAGAAAGGGAGTTAAATAAGAAGCTTCGCCACATGATGGGATAACATTTAGCCTTACACAAGTGTTCTTACCAATGTTTGCATTCAAACAAATAATTTAACAAAAATAGTTTGCTGCTTCATAGTTCCAACAACAAAAAAGGACAACATGTTGAATCAGTTCTTAACATGAGAATACTCCTCTGCCAGTTTTTCAGCCTTTTCAATTACTTTTCCAAAACAATTAACATTAAATGAATTTGAAATCTCTAAATCTTGGTGCAGCAAGCAGCATTGTACTTGAATGCTTTGGAAGCCTTTGATTGTATTATGGAGAGGCACCAGGTTCGCCATTTGGCCTTCTGCTACGTAGTGGGGCTGCAACAAAAAAAAGCTAGATCTTACGAACGTGAACTACTGTACGGTCAGCTTATCTTCCTCTGATAATTCATCCACACCAAGAAAAACACTGATGTCCTGCATGACTTGTAGTCCTAAAAAAAAGAACAATTCAGTAAGATAATGCTTTAGTTAGGTTCTAGCATTGAAGTTATTGTTGACATCCATTCAACATGTCTTAGCATCCACGTCAAGGCTTGCCTGAAGAATCTTATATATGCCACGGGCAGCATTGTAGTGTTCATCCAAAACAATATTGGGGTCCATGATTAGGGAGGTGGAATCCAAAGGGTCCACAGCAGTTGTTGGCGTTTGAGGGCCCATAGGGGTCCTGAAGGCGGAGGTCCAGAACCTTATGAACGCAAATCAGACCCTCCGTTCCATCTATGGCGGTCATTCTGAATGTGTTTTCACCTTGAACGAAAACATGATGAGAAGCAGTAAAGACTCTGTAGACATTTAAGCCCTAAGTGACAAGTGATAAGAAAAAAACAGTGACCGTGATTATATGTCTGATTTGAAACTCTCTTATGTGTTAATTACTAAATAAGGGAAAACATTTCAACACTTTCAAAATAATATTTCAAATTGACATTGTATTTTATTAAAAGGTAGGTTTAAAAAAAAAAGTTTTGTTGGTATTATTTTCATTTTTTCCTTAACAGCAGTTCATCACTTATTAAAATATACATCTGATTAATAAAGGAAGATGTGACAATAACATTACATAAACAGCCTACCTTGAGTTTAGGGTTCATGGAGAAATTAAAACTCAACACGAAGAAAACATGAACGCTTAAATCAGATTTGTAACATGGGTTAATGGTGCAATTCAGTCCTCTTGTGGTCGAAAAGAGTATGGATCACCACTTTATTTTCTTTGCCTTTCAGAAATATGACCAAATAGCTGCTGAAATTAAATAAACATTTGCAGTGATCTCGGTAACTGGAGACTCTATAGTAATTTCGACTGAGTCACTGAACAACGACTTAATCGCGTTTAAAGAAAAGCCAAAGTGTTGATGGTGACAGTAGGTCCATGTGAAGTGTTTTTGAGCACTCGAAGAAACAGCCGTATGTAATGTATCCTTCTGATTGTCTATTTAAAGTTGATCCCAAGCGTAAGAGTCTGCAGAGTCCCGTGGCAGCACCGTCACACAGCACCCAATTTAGTTAAGGTGGCTAAAGGTAAATATATACATAGCTGCCTATCAGCTGAGCATGCGCAGTCCATCTTGCTCTTGCGATCCCCTCAATTACCGGAAGAGGACGGCACAACCCGTCTGCAGCATGGATGTATAATAAGAACTGCAGTTGTGTTTATCTGTGTGATAAATAGTGTACCCTTGCAGTCTATGGTATTTAAGTGCTAACTAAAACCATGCCAGTGTCTTAAAATCCGTGGTGGATACGTTTTCAGATGTTGTACTTAAGTAAATACACATTATCACACTCTGAAAACACTCCACTTTACATACACGCCCTCCATTTGAATCATTACTCAAGTAAAAGTAGTCCTATGTAAGCAGCCTATTAGCATAAAGTATTAGCAGAATTTAAGTAGTCATTGTCCAGTCAAATAGTCTCTGTTGGTGTTTTACTATTATATTACATTACATTGCATTTAGCTGACGCTTTTATCCAAAGCGACTTACAATAAGTACATTCGACCAGGAAGACACAACCTTGAAGAAAACAGAATCATATAAGTACATCAGGTTTCATAGAGCCAAACATTTCAAGTGCTACTCAACTGGCTTTAGGTAAGCCAGTCCTTTATTAGTATATAAGTGCTTCGTTAATAGTTCTAACGCTCGAAGTGGAGTCGAAAGAGATGAGTTTTCAGTTTGCGCCGGAAGATGTGCAAGCTATCTGCCGTCCTGATGTCAATGAGGAGCTCATTCCACCATCCTGGAGCCAGGACAGCAAACCCACGTGTTTTCGCCGATGGGAACTTGGGTCCCCCTCGCAGCGAGGGCGCAACGAGTCGTTTGGCTGATGCAGAGCGTAGTGCACGCGCTGGGGTGTACGGTTTAACCATGTCCTGGATGTACGAAGGGCCAGATCCATTCGCAGCATGGTAAGCAAGTACCAGTGTCTTGAAGTGGATTCTAGCAGTTACTGGAAGCCAGTGAAGGGAGCGGAGGAGCGGAGTGGTGTGGGAGAATTTAGGAAGGTTGAAGACCAGACGAGCCGCTGCATTCTGGATGAGCTGCAGAGGTCGGATGGCACATGCAGGTAGACCAGGTAGACCAGCCAGGAGGGAGTTGCAGTAGTCTAGGCGTGAGATGACGAGAGCCTGGACCAGAACCTGAGTCGCTTTCTGAGTCAGCTGGGGACGTATCTTCCTGATGTTGTAAAGCGTGTATCTGCAGCAACGGGTTGTAGCAGCGATGTTTGCAGTGAAGGACAGGTTGTTATCTAGGGTCACACCCAGATTCCTTGCAGTCTGATATATGATGTTTTTTGGACAAATATTAAGTAGCCTTATTTAGCAAGGGTTTTTTATTCATAAACAGTGATTAAATCACCAAAACAAACAGTGAGCATATGAATCTGAACATCCAATGGTACATCTTCAGTGCAGAATGCTGATACACATAGTTTGTGAAGTTGGGATGATATACACATCAATGATACAATTCAGCATTCATTTCAATTAAAGAAAACCCGTATTTGCAACACTTGTTTGTTCCATTTCTATGACATTCATTGGATAAACAAATATTTTCACTACTTAATTCAAATTCCAGTTTCTTTAACCTTAACTACTAACCTTGTCTACAATTAACGCACCTTTCTAGCTAAACCAAAGTAATGATAATGCACTTCATGTCCTTTTTTTATTGACATTCAGTTTGTAAAAGTATTATTAATGATTTGTCTATCCCTTGTGTGGTGTTCGGGTCAAATTGACCCGATTTCCATTTTCAATGAATACAAAAAAATATAAGGATATTTTCGTTCAAACTGAAACTCAATGGCCGGGGCTTATTTATTGTGAAGGACATCTGGAATTGTTTTTATTTATTTTTCCACTTATGAAAAAATTCCCACCCGCATTTATGTCCTTCATAAGAGGTACGGGTCAATCTGACCCGGATACAATACCAGGATAGACAGACAGAGAAAAACACACAGAAACACACAAACTAAAGACACACACACACACACACACACACACACACACACACACACACACACACACACACACACACACACACACACACACACACACACACACACACAATTGTATGCATAGAGAAGCTGTTTGATCCTGTTTTCCCTTGATCTTTACCCTTTGTAGTGTGTACACAAAACTATCCTAGAACATTCTAAACATTTGAGATCTTCCAGAAATGTATAAACATTTTACATTTTCTCGCACTGTCCCGCCTCGCACCTGCACGCCGGAGGAGGGACTAAACAGAGACATACCTCACATTACAGTGTATAGTGCAGAACTACAATTATCTACCAGCAAAATGGCCAAAAGATATTCTGCTCAGAGAGCCTTGGAGCTAATAATGGATGAGAGTGAGTGGAATGCATTAGAAGAACACGGTGAAGTGGGACAGGAAGACATTTCTGAAGATGAGGATAATGTGGAGGTAAACTCAGAATTTGACAGTAAATTGGAAGATGAACTTGACTCAGAGCCAGCTGCTGGAAGACCCCCACAGCCAGCCGCAAGAAGACCCCCACAGCCAGCTGTGAGGTCTGTGGACCCTCAAAGGACTCCAAGACACAGACTACATGCAGCAACTGCAACAAGTACATCTGTGCTATACACACGAAGAAGTTCTGTACATTATGTGCTTCCTAAACAGACTTGCCCATTGACTCACATGATGTTCTGCAGCGTCACTTCATCAATATATTTTTCGGATATAATGTATGTTATGAATAGTGACTGTTAATTGTTTTTTATTTGCTTTGTGTTTATATCTGTTCTATGTAATTTATATGGATGTTTCATTATCTCTATATTTCACAGCCAAATACTTTTGGATGTGTGGTTCCTGTGTTCTAATTGCTGCTAAATTGCTTTATTTCCATCAGGGCTTTGATTATTATATGACAGATTAAAAATAATAAACATTAATGAAAAAATGTTTCATTTACATTAGTCCTAGAAAAGCATGAGCAACATGTAAACTTAGTTTTTATTACAGTGTATTTTTTTTTTAACATAAATTACATTTTTATCACAAAAAACGATGGACACGTCCATTGTTAAATTTGTTCCAGCAAAGAGTATTTTCAAAAACGAATCATATATTTCATTTATATTGTTGGGGAATGAGTTAAAGACAATATATATAAGGAATTGTGCATGTTGAATTTAGTTCTGTATTTTTTTTAATTAAAAAAAATTGTTTGTGTGAGATCTCGCAATGCAGTTTGTAGACGGTCCCTAAGCACTCCTCCCTCCTCCAGCTGCAGATTGTGACCAATTCTTGAAGTTTAGCTCGGATGGGGATGGCGGCGCTCGTTGTCTACCTTGCTATGTATGATTGTAAAATCTTGTTGTTTGTATTTTTACAACGTTATGTTCATGAGTTATTGATCCGCGAAATTCGAATCTGTCAATAACTCAGCCCAGAGCAGGCCCGGTTCTACGGGGGTGCATAAGGGCACCCTCAGTTGAGTCGTTATGCACCCTCATTTAAAAAAAAAAAAAATTAAAAGTGACAAATATTACATATATAATAACAATAATAATAATAGTAGTAATAATAATAAGAAGAAGAATATAGTTGAAATAAAATAAATTGTAATTGTGGTTAAATAACATTGTCTGCTGCATTTATTTGCTCAATTTAAACGGTAAGTAACGTTATTATGTCAGGTGCGCGTGACTTGTGCCGCTGCGCGTTCGTCATCTGCAAGGTGCTTACACAGCAGTCAATGATGGACATCAGAAAATGGTTAAAACAACCAGCCCTTATCGCCAGCAGTAACACTGGATCTACTGGAAGTGGACAGTCCTCCCGCCCGAGCAGCCGCAGCCGTCTTCGTTGCCCCAAACACCGCCACCCCTCGGCGGCCCGCAAGTGCCAGAGGAAAATATGCCATCTTCTGCTATGCATGTAGACATTTCGGTCTTAAAAGGGGAGTGATTTGTAAAATATCCATAAAGAAAAAGTAAATCTGTTTACAGTTCTGTTTCATATGGGTGTTGAGATGTATCCATACAGTACTGTAGGTCTCTTCATTTTTCTCTCAAAGTGCACCAGATTGATGCTTTTAACTTTAATATTTTAAAACAAATCTTCTCAGATGCATCCTGAGTCATTTTGTTCTGGAACCAGGCCTGGCTCAGAGTATGCTTTGCGACGTGCATGTTCCCTCGCTCTGAGTGTTCTCTTGAGGTGTCTTTCACTTATGTGAAACCCGTGCCTATTGCCAAGCACTGATGTTATATATTTATATTTAAGGCCAAGCTCAAAGTAAAATCGATGAACCGCTCCATTGTTGTGGTTTCTGTGTTGCCGAACTGACCAGGAAGTACATTGAGCTAAATGAAAAGTTTTGCGAGATCTCACAAAACCCCTTTGCGTGATCTCGCAAAATCCCTTTGCGTGATCTCGCAAAAGATAAAGAATGCATCTAACGTTCCGCTGTTCATTATAATAAAAAAACAGAGCATTCAACAAACCATCATGCTCTTACTTTGAAATCATGCGGAAATGTCGTCATCAGCAGGCCATCACGTGGTTTCCGAAAATAACCGAGTGACACGAGTAGATTTTAGCCGAGACCAGCGGAAAATATGTCTTAAAATACCGTGTGTGTAATGAGACGATCCACAAGCAGAAATGTGAGATCCACGAGCAGAGATTTGAGATCCGCAAGCGCATTTTTGGTCGACAAATACAAAATGGATTCACAAATGCCTGATCGAAAGTTGTAAATGTTAAAGAGATATTCACAGATCTTTTTTTTATTTGTGAAAATATTTAGCGTATTTGCAGATCCGTTTTACATTTGCAAATGTATTTGTGAGTTTGCAAATCTTTTAATGTTAAACCCCAAGCCCCAAGGTCCCCCCCAAGGCCCCCGCCGACGTCTCTGTATAAAAAAATAATTTAATTTATAATCCATAATTCCATTTTTATGTAAAAATCGCAGAGCAAAAGTTAGCTGATAATGGAAGCCACCAGAGTGGCTGCTGCTTCCGGTCTTGGCTATGTGGCAGTCTAACACACACACATTACCAAATAAGGACTAGGTGGGAATTCCCCTCGATTTCATTGGCTCTGACGGTTAGAAAGATATGTCACATGTCAAAATCCAGCAAGGGGGGCCAGAGATATGGAAAATCCACCCAAATGGCCCCAGAAGAGGTTTTTTTTTGCTAAATCTGTCTAAAAAGGTAAAATATCACTTGTTTTGCATCAATCTTGATACAGGGTACTTATTATATGTTGTACTTTGGATTCCTAAAGCTTTTAGTCTACTAACCCATCATCCAAGGTTAGTTTTCACTATAAGTACAACATATTTTTGCATATCTATGCCCATACTGCTACCATAGCATCTTATCGTGTCAGTCTTTCAAAGACGGCGAAGTTGTGAAAGAAGCATTCCTGGAGGCTGCCGACGCGCTTTTGGGGGACAGTAAAAATAACAGTAGCATTTCAACAGGTTTTTGATATAATAAAAACTCAAGTTAGATACCGTTATTAATCAGCTGTAAGTTTTAGTTTGTTTGAACTTATTCAGTATAATTATTGTACAAAATGGTATAAGAATGCAAACTTAAATTGATTACAGTCAATTATCAATTCAGGTTAAGAAACTAGTGTTGCTTGCATCCTATTTTAAAGGCATTTATTTTTATACTCTACTAAAATGCAACAAAAAAGGGTTTGATTATATTAATTTTGTCTTTTTTATTGCACTTTGGCTGCAGATTCCTGTGTAGCTTCAGATCTGTGTTGTCTTATTAGTAAGCCTAATTTATACTTTTGTAGCAACACTATTTTTTATATAATGGCAAAGAAAGGGTTCAGAGTCTTTTCTTTTTTCCCTGTGTCATGTGTGGCAGCACTGTTCAATGTTTCTTGAAAACATTACCCACTGTAGTATGTGACGTGTGAATAAACTCCAACTCTGTATCAACAGCACTGTTGTGTAACTTCAGTTAAATACTTGTATGTGTGTAGATTAGAAAGAGGTAAGATAAAGGATCTGCAGTATTTTATGAAGTATTAATTGTACAAAGGTCAGTTTTATACAAGTAGAAGTGTGTATTTACCTGGTAGTAGGCTGTCAGTAATGGCTACGCCTCTCTATTTGGACTGGTAGATCTCGGCAGACTGGCAACCTTAAAAGTAGCTCTCGGTTCAAAAAATGTTGGGCACCACTGACCTAGATGTTGTAGTTATTGTCTTTGATAACAGTGATGTCGTGTTATCACATGTTTCAAAAGTTTGCACAAAGCTCTAAGATTCTGTAATTACCAGTACCACAAACATAATGGAACATAACAAACACATTCAGTCAGTGATAAAAGCACAGCTTAACTGAACAATAATTTTCACAACTTACACATGTTGCTGCAGCATATAGGAACAATATATGAATGGGTGTCATTCATCAATGCGTAAAGTGACGGGGTGGATTTTGCCAAGCCATCATTCAGTGCAACATTCCTTTGTGTCAGAGAGTCTCCTATAATTACTTCTTGCCTGGAGCTTTGCAATACAAAGCCTCTTCACCTTAAGCCCGACAGGGAGCCATGCATCCTCAGCCAGTCTGTACAGGACCAGCTGTATCTCCAAAACACTCCAGGAAAAGTACACAAAATGGTCACCTCTACCAGTGAATGGTCAGATGGTCATCTTTTAGGGTCTGTAAGGTGAAGTTCCACCTATAGGCTACTGCCGCCAGTTATTGAGATATATTTCATGTCACCTGTCTATGGTTGCCACCCCCTCCTCGCAAAACTATAATTAAAGAAAACAAACCACAAGTGCCAACAAAAGGTATATATCTAGTACACTAGTTGAGTAATACCTCTGTTTCTTAATCAAACCAACAGGAGCTTATTGACCCTTTTTATCTTTAGACAAGCTGACATTGCTTTGGGGTTTTATAATTCATTCAGGACATCTCAGATTCTTTAACCCTTTTACCTCAGGCAATGTTGATATATAGTCCAGGGCAGAGACCAAAGGTGATCAGACCTTTGCCATAGGGTCTCTAAACTTTCTGTGGAATTTATTCTGGCATCAATGTCTCCTCTTAAAAAAGGATTTTAACATCATTTACCAGTGCTATTTTTCAAATATTTTTCTGCAAGGTTAACTGACTTACAGTAAACAACAGATTTAAATAACAAGACATTTAAAAAAAATCCGGACTGATAACTACCAAACAAATAGCTATTATCCAGATCTCACCTCACACAACTCTGCAGTACGTCTAACCCAATCAATCAAAGTATGTTTCCCTTTCAAAGGATATGAGATCATATGCAAATATCTAGGTCATATAACCTTTGAAAAAAGACAAATACACAATATTATATAATTAAACAAAAGTTGTGCTATTCAAAAACTTCTAGTCAACTTATGCATCTAGTTGATTGAACTTACAGTGGTTAAAATACACATTTAAAGAAACACACAGAAAATTGCTGTTGTAAACACATCCCAGTTCTCCCTGAGGGCAGAGCGGAGTCCTGGAAATGCTCAATGGGCTCTAGTCTGGCGGTACCTCCTTATAAAGGAGGCGTGAGTGTCTGGGAGTCTCTCACTCTCTGCTCCACAGAATGACTGACACCGCTGCTGCTGCTTCTGTTCATCAATGAGCTAACTGGAGCTTACTGTGCACCTTCTGCTGTTCCTGCTACCTTCTTCAAGTGGGCTGCACTCAAAAAGGACACTATAATTTGCAGCATTTCCAAAGGAGGTTTAACTGTGAGTTGACAGAAGGACCATTTCTAAATTGCTTAATAATATTCATAACTTTTTTGTTTGACTCTAAATTGTCTGACTGAACTGAAATGTTTTAAAACTTAGCAAATGTATGGATTCACAAACTTTTCCACTCAATTATAGTCTTTTAATTGGTGAAATATAATGACACAAAAAAGAGTTACATGTATAGTCAGAGTATGAAGTATAAGCTATGGGTTGTAAGAGAGAAAAAAAACATTGTTAATGTTGTAGTGACAATAACATTTACGATGCAAACAGCACAATATAATACAACTATAACATCAAATGAATTGCAATGATTTGATGCAGAAAATAATTTTGTCTATGGTAAAATGTATCCATAATGATTTGTTTTTGCTATTTTTCTCGAAAGTTGGGTCACGGATGTGTCCCTCCTTTAAGTTGGTGCTGCTGGTCACAGCACTGACATGTGTTTGGACGCAAGACCTTTACGAAGAGAGGAAAACTAACAAGAAATCCAGGGCCAAACCTGTGGCAGCAAATATAAACAATGGACAAGGTAAGATTGAAAATAAAATGAATAAACAAAATAATGCATCATTTTGGCATATAGTCAAGTTAAAATGTAATCACTTAGTAATACTAACACTTTAGAAGCATGTTCTACAACCAGTAGAGAGTCCTTCATCTTATTGTTTTGTGTGCACTCAGCCATCCTGGATGAGAACTGTAGCTTGGAGCTCTCCTTCCTGTTGGACAGCTCCGAGAGCGCCAAAGACAACCACGAGCAGGAGAAGCAGTTCTCCATGAACATGGTGGACAGACTGAAGGGCATCCAGCTGCCTACCGGCCAAGGATTGAGCTTGAGGGTGGCTCTTCTGCAGTACAGCAGCCATGTTATCAGAGAGCAGACCTTCAAGGACTGGAGGGGCACAGAGAACTTCAAGACCCTTATAACTCCCATCATTTACATCGGGCACGGCACCTACACCACCTACGCCATCACCAACATGACCAGGATGTACCTAGAAGAAACCAGCCCCAGCAGCATCAAAGTAGCCGTGCTGCTCACAGATGGCATTTCCCATCCGAGGAACCCGGACATCTTCTCTGCTGTTGCTGATGCCAAGAACCAGGGCATCAAAATCTTCACTCTGGGCATCACCCGGACAGCCAACGAGCCAGCCAATGTCGCCCAGCTGCGACTACTGGCCAGCTCCCCGGCTTCCCACTTCCTCTATAATTTACAGGACGAAGACGTTATTCAAAAAATCGCCACTGAGATTGTGAGTGTAATTCCTCGTCTTTCAACACTGAGAAGAAAAGTAATGTATTTGCTTTGCATATAGATCAGTTCAGAGTTGACACAAAGGCAGGCTGGTTCAGGTATTTGTATAGAGATGGAATGATGACAATGCTCAGGGGAAACAAATGAAAGGATGATATGACAGCTCTGGATTTGAAACGTTTTACATAGCTTTAGAAAAATTATGTTTGAGCATATCCCCTAGCATTCCTAGAATTACACACATGACTGGCATTTAGACATGCATTACAGTTACGGCTAAAAAGATTCTTCAAACTGGGATAGTATTAAGGATTGTTCTCGGCCTTATCACTTTTGTCTTCTTTCAAGTTTAATTGACCGTACCTTTTGTTTTCCCAAACTTGTTTATACTTGTATGAAGTTTTTGTCATTTATTGTGCTACATTAAAAGATTATAACAAATAATCACTAAGCAACAACTAGACCAACCTGATAAGATACTACAATGATACAATATTCAAACTCTATCAGATATTCATCCACTTTTGTTTTCTTTGCAGACTAGCTTGGCTGAAGAATCAGTAAGTATTATTAATACTACAAAGCTCATATATGGAAGCTTTTGACATTTAATAATGTGTAATTTTGTGAGGTTGTATAGAAATACATTCATGACAGCAAACGTGTCCTTTTTCTGAAGTGCCCCCTGGCTCAGAAATGTGCTTGTGAAAAAGGAGAGAGGGGACCCAGCGGGCCTGCGGTGAGTATTTACACTCAAACCTTTCAAAAATATTCCACAAGTAGTTTCCTTTGAAGTGCCACAAGTCCGAAAAAAGGTTTCCAGACATGTTGGGAAGAGAAATCTATCATGATCCTTGTATTTAATGTATGGTAATTGTACCATTTTGAACAATCAGGATAATTACTTGTTTTTTCTCCTCAGTATAGCTTGCAGGCAATTGCCCAAGCAGAGGGAGTAGATATGTGGGCCTGACCTACATTTCTAAAATGCAAATCTATGGCAACAGGAAAAAGACATCAGAGACGATGGTCTGCTTTTCCCAGATAAATACGTTTGTTTTGCCCCGTCTCCATCAGCTATTGTGCATTTCTCGTGCAACAGGTGTTGTCCCCCTTGGAAACCAGAGGCACCATATTTGTAGGTCCACTCCCCATAAAACTGGACCTCTGGCCACCATACATCTTTCATATGACCCGTTCTGCCACGGTCAGATACACAGGGATAAAGGACAGCACTATAATACACATCATTTCTGTGTGATGCTAAAAGATGATGATCCCCTGCCCACTCTACAAACCCCCCTCTTTACACTATTAGACTACTATCTATATTTTCAGAGGCCTGGCAGATAATCATGTTGCTGACAGCTGCATGGTTATTAACCAGGTGCTTTCTCCTAAAAAAGATTCTTTAAATTCTTCCAATCATACGAAGAGGCTTTTGAAATTGCTCTCATTAGTTTAATGGCCACAAACTAGTGATTTCTGGTTCTTAACAATTGACAAACGCTGTCCAGGTGCAGCTCAAGAACCGTGACCCCCTGGCCCTGTGGACAAGACACCTCTTGCCCTCCCAGTTACCTATGTCTCAGTTCCTTCCTGTGTTTCTCAAACAATGCCTGTCTACAGACAAAAACATGCCAAATACATATCCATGATTCTCTTTTTTTTCAAGTTTGGGACATAGACCTGTTTGTGATTTGTGACTTTAGTAAGACACGACTAATTTTAGAAATCTGTCAGAAACAGTGGTTCTTTAAAGAACCCTAATAAAATGCAATACAAAATATGTTTTTAAATAGAAAAAAACAGGTGAAAAAAAACAACAAAACATTAGATTGCAATGTCTAAGTCCTAAAATAAAATCATAAATAATACTAGCTGTTGCTTTAATATTTTTTTGTTGGATGGAATTAATTAATTTGGCATTCTAAACAATTGGTCTGAATAACACAACTTTAATTCTGTGTCCAGAATCAAATATGCTGCCCTGATCTACATTTTTGATTAAGGAAGAAGATTGATGTGCTTTTTCTCCTGTATGATATTAATGGCCAGTTTAGTTGGATGTGTGGGCAAAGTGTTTTAGTTTTACTGTGCTCAGAGTTTATCAGAACAAACTTGTATGCCATGTCAAAGAGCTCGAGAAAAACAAATCTGGGGTGTACCCTTTTACGCCATAGACTCTAAGCCTTGCACTTAGAATGTGTTCTCTTTTTTACCCTACAACAAATGTTTTTTGACATTTGCCATGCAACATGAGCAAGCTGTCAATGTGGACACCAAGAGGTGAGCAAAATGTCAGTGGAAGAAATACATCAACTTAACCCTAACTTGGTTTCATTCTACAGGGGAAAAAAGGTCGCTCCGGAGAAGACGGAGCCCCCGGGCTTAGAGGGCAAAAGGTAAGTGCTTTTCGATGGACATGTGGACTGTGCATGCCTCAGCTGGAAGGCTTTTTCAGGTGTCACATAATATGGTTCATATACATATATATGCACCACCTGGTGGCAGGGTTGTCACAAAACGTATACATATAAAGCATTATTTAATACCTCCTGAGTAGTTATTTTTTTTAGTTTCTGGAAGTAGTAAACTGGTTCAAATATTATAATTCATGTATGTAATCATTTGTAGCCGAAATGTACATTTTAGCTCTGACATTTGTTTAAAACAAACATTTAGTTTAAGGACAAAATATAAATACATTATACAATAAAGAAATGACATGCTTAAACATTTGTCAAGGAGTTTATGACAAACTCTATGAAGTGCAGTTTCTGCTTACAAAAATAACTTTTCGTTCTCTTCAAACATCTCCATTGGAGTACCACAAGGCTCAGATTAAGGCCCTCTTTTATTCTCTTTAAATGCACTTAATAAATAAAATAAATATATATATATTACTGTCACACTAACTATTTGTAACTGTGCCTCCCCTTCGAAACATTTTTTAGCATGTGTTGTTAAAATATGCTCTCACTCTATATATATATATATATATCTATATATGTTATATATTGTAAATAATATTGATTTATCGTGATTATAATCTGCTCATATTGTATGAGTTTATTAATTTGTGAATAATTATATACAGCTGTTCAACATCATCTTATTGTTGATCTTAAGTTATATTATGTCCAAGCTTATAGCACTTAAACTTAACAAATATAAGTTTTCAGTCTATTTATATTGGTGCTAACTCTAAATAGAGGATGTTTCATGTTGTTATCTCTCTTCTCAATCGGTTTAAACCTGCTATATGTCACTGTTTAAGGATATTCATTGATAAGAGATACAAGCAGTTGTAACTCTTATTCAATGATTCAATGAGTGTACTTTCTGTCACATCAGGGTGAAGCAGGACTAAGTGGTCTACCTGGAAAAGAGGGTGCTGAGGTACATTTCAACATTTATGATCAAAGTAAGAAAACCAATATCTCTGTGGTTGTTCACAAATAACATCCCATTCATTTTATTTGCAGGGGAAACCAGGTTACAAAGGAGAGCAGGTTTGTGATCTAAAATACGATACAATACTATTTTATGATCAGATCATGTCTTTAATTGTTATAGCATCGGATATACTCAATACTAAGACAATATACAAGAATAATGAGATTCAATACAACATCATCATAATCACTGAAGACATTTAAATGAATGTCAATATCATTTTGTCTTGTCGGAAACAATGCAAGTCTGTTCAGATTGTAATTTCTACATAGGGCGAGAGGGGTGAATGTGGTACTCCAGGAATCAAAGGAGACAGGGTACAACCGCACTGTCGACACACACTGAATATTATGTTTCCAGTTTGATCATTCCTTACTGTAAATACTGTATTTGATCTGATGAGCTTTTTTCTTTCCTGTGTGATGTGGTTCAGGGCCCTGAGGGACCAGTTGGAACAAGAGGACCTAGAGGGCTGCAGGTCAGTAGTAATCAAGTAGTAAAATATGCAACTATAAAGTTTAAATAGAGCTTGTGTTTGATTGTGAATATGCAGACACATTTATCCAAACATACTTATTGAAATGTTGTGGGATGTGTTTTTTATCAGTTTTTTTTATCAGTTTTTATGTTATTTCTGCGCAGGGGTTACCTGGACCACATGGGGACGTTGGACCAGAGGGCCATCAGGGAAAGCAGGTCAGCCCCTTTTAGAACACTTTTGCTTTCCTCATCGTGCACATCTGCTGTGGCCTTTACATTTCCTTTTGTGATTAGTTTAAACTAGAGGTTGGAGCTTTACCACCCGGTCTTTACCATGCAGCACAGAGGACTGTTTGTCTGGTAATAAACCCCTGTGTGAACACTCGGCAACGAGCCAACGTCTTCCCCATCATTACTGTTATTCACCAGCATTGGGATGAGCCATCAGCAAAATAAAAACACTAAAGATTCTGCTAATGATCTACTCGTATCCTGTTACTAAATACAGACTAGGAAGTGCTGTCAGCAATGTCAGCTCGTCCAATAAATAACATACATGGAAGTCAGTGTTGGGTGTCTGGCCATGTGAAGACTTGTAGGAAGCATTTGCAAATATTAACAGGACTCTTGGTGGTCTTTCTATATAGTTTATCTTCTGTTTCTGTCGCCTAAAGAGACGGTGAGACGTGTATTTTCACAAATTAATTATATAGAATAAGAAAATGTCTAAATAGTAAATTGTATTCAGTTTGTAAGTGAATTATTCTGGTTAAAGGAAAGTAGTACAATGATACACATGCATTCATGTAATTCATCCAAACGTTGATGTAGTTAAGAGCCTCCAGCAGTTCTTAGTTAATTTGAGATACTGTTGTTTGGGGTTTCTCAAACTTTAAAGCAATACTTAAGCTCAAGTTAAGCTCTTATGTCCTGCCCTGCAGGAAGATATAAGATATCAGCAAAACTAAACAAAAGATTTACATAATTGATTTAATCTTCAAAGAAGCATGTTACCTGCATGTGTGTGTGTGCAGTATCCATGTATAAGTCTGTACTATCAAATGTAGTTTTGAGTTTGATATTTTTCCGAGGTGCAACATAGTGTTTAATTTTTCAATAATAGAAGGACATTTTTATGGAGGAAAGGATAATAATAATAATAATAATAATAATCCTTATATTTATTATAGCGCTTTATCAAAGAGCTTTACAAATACACATTACACATACAGATCATACATGTAATGGTCATCTACTGTGGACAATACCCACAGGAGCAAATTCGGGTGAAGTGTCTTGCCCAAGGACACAACGGCCTGACGCAGTGGGGCGGGAGCAGGTTTCGAACTGGAGTTCCCCAACGCCCCCTTGATCTGATGATCAAACGCACAGACCACTGCACCACCCGTCCCTATAAATGACACCAAACTTATGGTTTAGGACTTATTTTCAGGACTTTTTGTTTCTAAATTGATTAATAGTAGTAATAGTTGTATTATGTTTGTGCTTACAGGGTGAACGTGGCATATCTGGCCCTCCGGGAATTCAGGGGGAAACTGGCATTGGCCTTGCTGGACCAAAGGTAAATTGTGTTATGGATTATCCTCTGGATATATCTGGATACTGGATATGTGATTGTTTGCTGCGATATCAATTTATTTAAGTTTCTCTTATTAAATTATCTGTTAATATTTAAATCTGCAGGGTGATATGGGATTCCAGGGTCGAGCAGGTCCTCCCGGCCCCCGTGGAGTGGGCGAACACGGCCCTCCTGTAAGTTAAACAGGAAATTATTTGTGTCTCTGTGGTGATCTGTTGAGAAAGCCCACGCAGGTAATTTGAATTTTTGGGTAACCTTTTGTACACTCTTGCTTTGTTTACAGGGACCTCAAGGACCACAAGGTGTTCAAGGGGAAAGAGGACCCCAAGGCGAGGGGCTTCCCGGACCAAAGGTATTTTTCCAACTCTATCGTCAGATAACTCATCAAAACAATAGTAATAGTAAAACTAGATCACACCATGTCTATAAGGTAGACTGGAAAGAGACAAGGGTCAGTTGTTGATTAATTCATGTGTATATGCTAAATATGCTAATATATGTATATTGTTTGGAATTTTGCTTAAGGTGTACCTATCTTTGGAGACTATTTTGCCATTCATGGTCTGCATCTGTTGAAACCAGATCTCACTCTTTTCCAACTCACTGGCTCACATCTCAGGTGTTCACTCTAGCGTTACTACTCACTCACAATGTTATACTGTAAGCCTGAACAATCTGTATTTTTGCCTGCCATGCTGCAACATGCTGCATACATTTTACACCAGACTCTGCAAATACTCCATTCAAATAGAGATGCCTGGGATTAAACCAAGGGTTAGACAAGACAAATGCTAGACTGAGCCCAATGGTATATGGCTTACAGTTTAAATACGCAAGTACATTATTATTGCAGCAGAACAGAGAAACCATAACCACAATAAATTCAGATTAATGAATCATATCCAAGAGCATACTAATAATTGCATCTCCTCTCACAAGACAGAACATGTGGGTGAAATTTGCAACAAGAGGAGCATTTTTATGGGGAGGTACACTTTTATTTCTTAGAGAAAGCTGTTGGAAAGTGAACACTAATAATGTCCTCAAGCAACACATCTGTTTTACCTGTGCCACACTTCCTAGTAGATTTTACTCCCCTGCGGATTTCGACCTCTTGTAAAATGTATCTTGATTCTTGAGTGCTTTTGTTGGGGGGATCACAACCTCTCTTCACACGTCCATCAGCAACTTCATAATTTCATAATCACTGCCACTGGCAAAAGTTCATGCAGTCAAGAAGTGGCATGAAAAAAAAGGTTCCATTCTTTGTGCGTAGAATCAGTTTGTATCAATCACAAGAGGATAACAGGAGCCAACACGCTTCCCTTCCATACGCTATTCACTGAGAACAATGCACACTTGGCTGTGATCCAAAGGCAAGTGTCTGTGATATACTGACAGATATCGTGTTTTCCTTCACAGGGGGAACGGGGGCTCGGCGGACCGAGGGGACCAAGGGGACAGCAGGGTGCAGGAATCAAAGGAGAACGGGTGGGTTATAGAGGTTTCACCTAACAGAGAGAATATGCTGCATGAACTGATTTTTGTGTTTCTTAGCTCTTTACCATCACACATTGATTAGTGGAACAGTGTGAGGTCATGAATTCGTCAAACTCAAAATAATACTTAAAAATATTAATAATTTGGCGCTTCACAATTGTGCTATAATTAAACTGAACATTATTTGATGTGTGCGTATTTCCCAAATTGGATAGAATATGCTAAGTGTTCTCTTGCATAAAGTACCTCAAGTTTGACAGCCCATGTGAAAAATTGTAAGAAACCAATAGCCTCCTGAAGAAGCCCTGAGAGGCAAATAAGAAAAAAACAGATCTAAATAAAAAAAATTCTGCTGTATGTATGACTAAAGAAATTGGATTTGTCATCTCTGTAATCTTTTTAAGTTTGTAAAAATGTTTCAATAATCAAAAAAGGACTGGGATTTTTCAAGCTGTTCGCTGATGTAATTCAAATTTCGGCCACAAGAGGATAAAGTGCAACACCACCCTATATTCTGAAAAGGACAAAAACGTTTATGTTTTCTAGCCAAAAGTTACTAAACAGACACGACCATAATTTCACATAACCTGCTAACACACAAAACAGGTATGTTGTGCTTATTATTCATGGAGGATTAGAACATACCATGAATCAAACACAATAAACTAGTCCGATTTGTTTGAAAGAATTAGAAAAGTAAAATTCAGTTGAGACATTGTGAACATTTTTTGTGGTGAAGCGAGTCACAGAGAACTGATACTTTGATGTTGTACTTCCAGGGTGATATGGGGCCTCTAGGTTTTCCAGGGCCAACTGGACTGACAGGAGCGGGCATACAAGGAGAGAAGGTCGGCAAAATGTCTTTTTTTATATTTTCCCAAGCAAACTGACATTGAGTAGTGGGACACTCTGCACCAAAATCTCTCTAACTTGTATTACTACCCAGGGAGTCGAGGGTCCAAAGGGTCCACCAGGTGGCAGAGGAAATCGGGGAGAAGGTTTACCTGGACCTAAGGTTTGTTTAAACACCTGCTGTATGAAACACACATACTGCAAAGTGTATTAGGTTTTTAAGTATGATGAGCAGTTGTCCTCATGCTTTTTGTATTTCTAGGGAGATCAAGGTTTACCAGGAGAGCAGGGGTCCACAGGAGAGAGAGGCCTTGGGGAGCCAGGTTCAAAGGTAAATAAGTTAATTATGGTCTATGTTGGCGTATCGGAAGTACCAACTTAATCAAATCAAATAATACTGTTGTACTGTGATAGGGGGATCCTGGATCAGCGGGTTTGGGGGGCCTGCCTGGTCTTCCAGGAGAGGACGGGGCTCCAGGGCAGAAGGTGAAGTACATTATGCCGTCTGTGTAGAAACAAACTTTGCATTACGATTGACTTTAGTGATACAGTATCTTTGATGGGGTTTTTGTATAAATAGAAGACTCTATTGTCATTATATATACACAGTACATGAAATGATGAATGCCCGTACCATCGGTGCTTAAAATACACACACAATACACACACAATACAGAACTTTGCAAACCATTTAAAAAAAGATAAGCATTAAAAGACAAAGACATGAATAAAGAAATTTAAAGTTTGTTTGTTTGTAGCCTTTATTTAACCAGGTGAAAGCCCCTTGAGATCAAAAGATCTCTTTTTCAAGGGTGACCTGCAAAAGTGCTTTTGTTAAATAAATAAAGCAGTTATGCAGTGTGTATCGGGCTTTGGGAAATAAACTGTTTAACATTCTGGTGGGTATAGTGTAGATATGTACTGTATGTATTTCTCTAAAGATCTATTTACTTTTGAAAACCTTCTGAAGGAGTTGTCAATATGCCATTGCACTCTTTGAAATTATTTCATGTATACACATTTCTTAATTAATAGTTGACACTTGATTTGTTCAAGTTGTTTAAAACATTAAAGGAGTAGCCATTACAATTTGCACTCCTACACCTTTGTATGTGAAGCATACTAAGCCTACAGTTCAAATAAATTGCTATTTTTCTGTAAATTTAATCAGAATGAAATGGGTATTTGCCAATATCCAAATGTAGTTATTGGAAAAATATTGGAACGGAAAAAGGTGGATCGGTGCATCTTTATTATGAACTCACACTACTACATGTTTTCCTTTGTCCAATGGTTTGAAATAAAAAATAAAACTTATTTATTTCCACTTTTTGGTCTCAGCTCATGGTTATAAAAGTATTACTTCTGTTTCATCCATCTTTCCTCTCATAGGGGGAAGGTAGTTTACCTGGTCTAAGAGGTGCTGAGGGAGCACAAGGAATTGGCATTCAAGGAGAGAAGGTATGCATTTATATTACATTATAAATCCTTGTGTTGTTCAGAATGTATACAACAACAACCGTTACTGTAATCAGATATATATGATCTCTCCCAGGGTGACCAGGGTCTGAGGGGCATCCGAGGGTTACATGGACCTCCTGGGATATCAGGACCATCTGGACCAAAGGTAAGAGTTATTGAACGAGTATTGTATTAGGGTGTGAGAGCTTCCATGATCAAATACGCAGCCTCCATTTATTATATGATGGAAACATTGCCGTAGGTTGATTTATGGCCCTTTTTACCACAAAAACAAGTCCTCTGCAGGAGGTTGGCAGCTACACCTTTGTTGGTATAAAGATGTCAATTGGATGTTAAGTTTTACTTTTATCTTTCAGGGTGAACGTGGTTTGTCAGGCCAGCAGGGCATGCCGGGACAGCCAGGACGGTCCATATCAGGTCCAAAGGTAAATAAATAAAAACGGATCATCAAACTGTCTCTTAACAGATCTTGGCACTGAGGTACAAGTCAAAAGAGCTGCCAGATTCTGATCACCCACTCATCACTATGACTTTATTGTCTTTTCTCCAGGGTGATGTAGGAACTGCTGGTCCCTCTGGTCCTGTTGGAGAAACAGGCCATGGATTACCTGGTCCAAAGGTAAAAACTCAATTTTTTTAGGATATTTGGTAATCATGTTGTTTCAATAAGCATACTGATTTGTTTTGTTTTTTATCAGGGAATTAACATTAAAGGTGGGGTAGGTAAGTTTGAGAAACCGGCTCGAGATACACTTTTTGTTATATTCCATGGAATGCTCTTAACATCCCGATAGCAATGAATATTAGATTAGATTAGAATCTTTAATGACCACACAGCCAGGCTGGTGGAATTCGTGTTCAGTGCAGATTATTACAGCTTGTTCCATACAATTCAACATACAATAAACAGTCAATAAAAAGTACAACACACAGCACAGGGCTTTGACAATAACTCCATTAAAAAAATGTCATCTGTGGAAGCCGTAGTACTGTAAAAAGCATGACCAATCATTTTAGCCGGCCCGGCTAAAATAACTGGATGGACTACCTGCCTGTCAGCCTTCCATCTGTGCACAAACTTATCTCGTGCCCTCATTGGTCATGTGCGCGTTCGTGTGTGTTGGAGGAGGGGCTCTGTAAGGAAGTGGCAGATTTGTTCCGGCTGTGTATTATCAAATTCTAGCGCACTCGAGCTGGTTTCTCCAAAATTACCTACCCCACCTTTAACTGAACACTATACATGTAGCAAAGATTGTGAAAACTGAGCGTTAAGCTAAAAAATCTTGATGGTTTTAATCACTATATTTTCTTTAATTAGGGTGATCGTGGTCATCTGGGTCCATTAGGGCCAGTTGGACCAAAAGGTGAAGGCTTCCCCGGACCTGTGGTTAGTTTTCTCAACCTATTCACACATGCTAAAATGCAGTAACCATTCAATCCTGTTCAAGTTGGCTTTATCTTAATCAATACATGTGTTTATTTCAGGGTCCTCCAGGCCTGCCAGGATTACAGGGCGAGCAAGGCCCAGAAGGAGTAGGAATCCCTGGTCCCAAGGTTTGTGTCAATGCATTAATTGGTTTGTTTGTTTGTGTGTGTTATTTTGCATGCTTTGAGATGCCCATAGAGCATATTTCATGATGTCATAATCTGTTTCAGGGTGATGTTGGCTTTCGAGGATTGCCAGGTTTGCCCGGGCCAACTGGAGAGGGCTTACAGGGGCTGCCTGTAAGAACATGTTCTAACTAACAGCTTGATCTGAATCATAGCTAATAACCACAAATATAAAATGGTTGACAAAATGTGAGCTTAAAGCTATCCTGTGATTGTATGCTATATGCAAGTTGATGTTATTTTGTTTGTTTTAAGGGTAATGTTGGGAGGGCAGGGCCTGCTGGTCCATCTGGTCCTGCAGGAGAAGGTATTCAAGGCCCAAAGGTAAATCATACCACTCTTTACACAAGTGCCATCTTTCTCGCACTTTCGAGCAGAACAAACCATATTCATAATTGGCGATCTACATACGAGTGTGGAAAGCTTCCCATTGATTCAATAAATCTAAAATCTGATTTCAGGGTGATGCAGGATCTCAGGGTATGACTGGGCCAAGAGGTCCTCATGGAGATGGATTTCCTGGATCCAAGGTGATGTTTAAAAAACAAAACAATTGATTGATATCTATTAACCGGCCTCTGACTGACAGATTGCTCTCAAATGTTGCAGGGTGATCGTGGATCACAGGGTGAGAGGGGCACGAAGGGTACAAAAGGAGAATTGGGAGATGAAGGAGTCCCTGGTGAACTAGTAAGAAAAAACTATATTTTCCTCACAATAAATAATGAAACCACGATTCTTATTACCCTATGTACTGGGCCAAAATATTAATGTAATGTTTCAATTTTTCACCAACCCAGGGAAAGCCTGGAGTTAAAGGAGACCAAGGACTCACAGTAAGTTCATCAACAAACGTTTGAAAAATTCACTGAATAATAGGGATTTTATACATATAATATGTTCAAATTCTTTTCAGAGAGAAGACATTTTGAAGCTGATCAAAGAAATCTGCGGTAAGACTACAAGTCTAGGATACTGTTATAACCATTAACTGGTATTTATTTAAAATGTGGATTTTTCTGCAATTCTTTGGTTCAGATTCTGAAGGCATAATTTTCTATACAGTAAGCTGTAAAATATTTTATAGCTGTAATGATTGATGGCCACTTAAAAACCTTAACATTTAAAGGTCACCTATTATGCTAAATCTACTTTTTCACGTATTTTATACATAACTCTGTCCCCTCTGTGTAAAGAGATTCGGAAAGTTTCAGGAAAAATATTCTCTTTTTTTGTCCTGATCCATAAAAACCTGTCTGAAAATGAGCTGATCAGATTTTGGTCACTTTGTGATGTCTCAATGTTTTTGGGGGTTGTGTAACCATTAGCCAATAACCAACCAAGGTACCACCCGCCCACCTTATCATCTGCATCTCCTCCTCGAGCACCATTGTGTTCTTTTTAACCAAATATCTCAGAGGGGCGTGGCCAGCAGCAGCTACTTTGCATTTAAAGCTACGGACACAGAATCAGCACTTTTGAAACAGGGATGAAACAGAGGGGTTTATGGGATGCGACAATGAATGATATGTTTGGTATTTGAGCCAAACACTTCAGAGACATGTTTTGTATATAACTGAGACCTATAATATATTGTTCAAAAAGAGTATAATAGGGGACCTTTAAAATGCATATTGCAAACATGTCAGCAAATAGTTTACCCATTTACACATCCAGCAGACGTGGAGAAACATTAATATTAATTTGTTCAATATTTACTCTTCTTTTAGCTCTGTTTTGTTCTATACCAACTCTGTACCAACACAGTTAGCTTTAGCCGCTAACTGTGTCTTCCTGCTCGTTGGAGTGACAATTGTCATTGTGGTTTTAGAGCTTTTTCAGTAAAAATGGGAGTGAAAGTAAACCAAAACAGTAAAGTTGTTCGTCAAAAAATATAAATAATGACCTGAAAGACGCTAAAAGACTCCATTGAGTATTGTGATGATTCTCTGTGAGTTCATCATTGCGAGCAAACCCTTTTATAGGACCACAGTGACAGTATTCTATTGTTTTCAGGATGTGGCATCAAGTGCAAGGAAAGGCCGATGGAGTTGGTGTTCGTCATCGACAGCTCGGAGAGTGTCGGCCCCGAGAACTTTGAAATCATTAAGGACTTTGTCACCAGGTTGGTTGACCGGACCACAGTCGGACGTAATGCCACCAGGATCGGACTGGTCCTCTACAGTCTGGATGTTCATTTGGAGTTCAATTTGGTTCGCTACATGAGCAAACAGGAAGTTAAACAGGCCATCAGAAAGATCTCTTACATGGGTGAGGGCACCTACACTGGCACCGCCATCAGAAAGGCGACTCAGGAGGCGTTCTTCAGCGCTCGGCCTGGAGTCAGGAAAGTAGCCATCGTCATCACCGATGGTCAAACTGACAACCGAGAGCCAGTCAAACTTGACATAGCTGTGAGGGAAGCTCACGCCGCAAACATCGAGATGTACGCCCTGGGGATCGTCAACTCTTCTGATCCCACGCAGGCTGAGTTCCTGCAAGAACTCAACCTCATTGCCTCTGACCCCGACAGCGAACACATGTACCTTATTGATGACTTCAACACTCTACCAGGTGATAGCCACAGTCAGATGTTGTAAATATAATTCCTTTAGCAATGTGTTCATTCAAATATAGCTATAATTATTTTCAGCTGAGAGGCAGTAAAGTGCTTTATGGTTAAACAGATGTTTTCTTTTCCAGCACTGGAGTCTAAACTCGTCAGCCAGTTCTGTGAAGATGAAAATGGCGCCCTCATTTACAATCGTTTAACAAATGGAAACTGGAACAATGGCCATGGTACTAATGGACATGTAGAGAACAACAATGGATATAATGGTAATAATGGTTACGTTGTATATAATAATGGATATGGGGACACTGGAAAAGCTAAAGATAACCAAGAGGAGAATCCAAGTTCGGGGCGCACCAGCAGCCGAGGCCGTGGAGACACCTTCACGCTGCCCATCAGCGCTGATCCCCTCCCAATCCAGGTTCGAAAACTCACACTGGATTTTTTTTATTAAAGTATACTTGTTGACATTTTCTTCACTGATGGTGCACCATTCACAACACTGACATGTTTTAATGTTGTCCTCTAACTCCAGGAGCTGGAAGATGATGAAGGTGAAGATTTAGACTTCAGAGCCCAGACGCGGGGCGCTAACACGGTAGCAACCGTAGCTGTAGTTAACAAAACAACATCTTTATCGCCTGTAAGAGAAAGCTCCGACTTCAATGAGGCCGTCATATCTCGTCTGATCTCAACTTTAGATTTAAGCTCTAACCAGTTGCAGCCAGTGGTGAGTCCAGTCCTGCCTGAAGGTGAGTACTGCAGCCTGCTCAACATCACCTTGACGTTTAACTGGCGGAAAGTACATATGTTTATAATAAAACAAGTGATTACTGAGGGTCCTAGAATGGTGCATGCCGGCTCACTGTCATGGCTTACTTGGAAACTTGGATAGAACAAAGCTATTATTAATGTTATTTAACACCTATGCTTTTCCTACTATAACAAGCCAAAACATCTGCTGTGAAAAAGGCCTATTTGTTTTTATGTACATTTTGGGGAGAAAATGTGCTTCTCACACACCATTTCTCCTCCAGAGGCCCCTGCTCAGGACCCTCGCTGTAACCTCACCTTAGAACAAGGCACCTGCAGAGACTACACCATACACTGGTACTATGACATGCAGGCCAACGCCTGCGCACAGTTCTGGTACGGAGGCTGCGGTGGAAATGACAACCGTTATGAAACAGAAGATGAATGCAAGAAGACTTGCGTTCTAAACAAAACAGGTAACTTTTATTTTATTTTATTACAGACAACATTTTGCCTTCTATTTTTCATTATCTGAATATTGTTGTCTTATCCCCAGCAGGATAATAGGAGAAGCCATCAGAAAATCGACTTGATTACTTTACTATTTGTTATTTTAATGTGATGAATTCTGTCAGTTGGGTTCAGAAAATTATTTCATGCACTTTTTGTAACACTTTTGTCTTCACACACAAATGCATATAACAAATAAAATAGCAAGACAGAATTAAAAAGCCAATTGAATCCATCCATCCATCCATCTTCTTCCGCTTATCCGTGGTCGGGTCGCGGGGGTAGCAGTTCCAGCAGAGAGCCCCAAACTTTCTTTTCCCTGGCGACATCAACCAGCTCTGACTGGGGGATCCCAAGGCGCTCCCAGGCCAGCGAAGAGATATAATCCCTCCACCTGGTCCTAGGTCTACCCCTTGGTCTCTTCCCAGCTGGACGTGCCTGGAACACCTCCCTAGGGAGGCGCCCAGGTGGCATCCTAACTAGGTGCCCGAACCACCTCAACTGGCTCCTTTCGACGCGAAGGAGGAGCGGCTCAACTCCGAGTCCCTCCCTGATGACCGAACTTCTCACCTTATCCCTAAGGGAGACACCAGCCACCCTGCGGAGAAAACCCATCTCGGCCGCTTGTATCCGCGATCTCGTTCTTTCGGTCATGACCCATCCTTCATGACCATAGGTGAATCAAATCCTAAAATAAATGTTGACATGTTGCTGTTTCAAACCAAAGATAACTGACTGACTTCACTAAGATTCACTTCTACAAAACTTTATTACCTCAAATTGTATTGTTCTCTACAGACCGGAATGAATCCTTTATTTAGGGTTTGTCTGTCCTCGTTTTATTTAACAACCTACATTCATTTTGTTATAATTGAGAAATGTACCTTTAGATCATTCTTATACCACTATGAGCCACTTGCTTTACATTGTGTTTATATTATTTACCAGAAAACGCTGGGTACTTGTGTGTGTGTTCTTTTTGTTGCTGTTACAATCTTCTCGTTCGAGTTTTCCGGCAGCTGTAACAGACGGCCATTTCTGTCTACTGCAATCGTCATCTTGTGATGAAGATTGAGGATTTCTGCACATATCGAATTAAAGGGCAGTTTGTGTGTGTATCTGAATAAATGGGTTATATGTTTTTAATAAAAAAAGTAAAATAATGGTGGTATGCCTGTGTTGTATCTGTTGATTAGGAAATATAACCATAACCATAACACCTCTAACCAGCATCTGATATAAAAAAGTTGAATCATTTGACTATAAAGTTACTTTAAAAACAACCTTTATTTAGTGGGAATGCTGACACAGCATTCCAACTATCTGTTATGCTACGCACAAAATGATTTATTATTCCGCCGGGTTATTTTGCGCTGCTTCTTCTCCCACATTGAACATCGCAGAAACTCCGTTCAAACATCAAAACGTTCTGCTCGGTCGGGAATCGATTAGGGATGTAAGGGTTACTTTGTAAATGTAATCAGTTACTGATTACTGAATACATGGTTCTGAAAGTAATCCGAATACAGTTACAGTTACGTGTCTTAAAATCAGATTACTTTTAGATTACTTTTGGATTACTTTCTTTTTCCATCACAGATGGGTATGTTTTGGTGAACAGGAGACACAAAAAGCAAAAGGAAACTGAACGTGTTTTTACTGTTTTAATGGCGTATCAAGAGCACAACTGAAACATAACATCTGAAACGAACAACATAATAAACTTGTTGGGGATGCAGCTTGGGATGTGAGGAGTGAGGGACACGGCTTAGAACGGGCGTGTCGCCTTCTGTCCTGCCAGTGTTGGCAGGACATGAATTAAAATGTCGAACTCGGACTTCATTTTAAGGACATTTCGGCCAGGGGTGTATTTTTGTTTAAGCACCGGATTGGCAAAACAGGAGACTCTGTGCACCAGTCTGCCTTGATCTATGAATTCATGTCCCTGACACTCACAGTATCTGCTGCCCACAGCTGTTTTATAGAAGGAAAACCTCCTTCACTTCATGAAATCTCTGCAGCGCCAGGAGGCAGCGGGAGGGTTAACTCAGCCTCTGAAGACGAGCGCGCCGTGCCTTTCACGCACCGCCTTCACTGTGTTTACCTTCAGAATCATTAGAAAGGCTAAAGAGCGGTGTGGCTGATGTGTTTTAACCACACACACGTCTACACACACACACACACACACACACACACACACACACACACACACACACACACACACACACACACACACACACACACACACACACACACACACACACACACACACACACACACACACACACACCCACACACACACACACACACACACAGACGCGCGATTTAAACGCAGACTTTTGTTCCTCCATGTTTCGTTGTTATCATTTCATTGAGCGGACCCGCCCATTTTTGGGATCATCGCTGTGATGATTCGGCTTTACCTTTAGTAATGAATATTACATGTTGTGAGGAAATCTTTCCACCAATAATTCCAATAAGTAATCTCAAATGTATTCACTTCAGGTTTACGAAAGTAACTGTAATCAGGTTACTCGTTTTTCAAATGTAACGCGAGCTGAATGCAGTTACTTGATTTTTGTATTCTGATTACCTAACGCCGTTACATGTATTCCGTTACAACCTAACCCTGCACACACGGCATAACACCACCGCCCCCCGCCCCCCCGCCCCCCCCCCCCCCCCCCCCCCCGTTGACAGTTCACGAGCGTGTTCTCTTGTGAACTGTTCAGACCCGACGGGTAATAAGGGATTATGACGGACATTTTACGATCCTGTCTGTCAAAATGACGGACAGCGAAAAAATCTAACGCCACCTCAGTGGGACGGAGAGATATGCTTTGGCCATGGGTGACAGCAGTGGGTCAAACTGTGCATTGTCTCTCCACCACTTCAAAAACAATAACGTTTTTGCCAAGAAGGTGAGGCTTATTGACAGGGCGAGATATAAATATACTGTTGGTACTTGTCAATGTCTCTAGGTGTGTAAATGTAGCACTTATACGATGTCCTTTTGTGTTCTGTTGCTTTATGTTCATGTTGTAACCTACGTGCTGCCTGTTGGACAGGTCTCTCTTGAAAAAGAGATCGATGATCTCAATGGGACCACCTGGTTAAATAAAGGTTTAAAACAAAAAAAAGTGTTTTAAAAAATCTTTTTAAAAAAAATCTTGAAAGATAATTTTTTTTTTATAGCAAAATAATTAAACAAAATGCCTTTTGAGGGCATGAAGTGACAAACACGTTCAACATGTCTCCATTAAACTCCATTGTAAATTCAGCCTCATCTTTCCCCACCACAGTATTCGGATTACTTTCAGAGCCATGTATTCAGTAATCAGTAACTGATTACATTTACAAAGTAACCCTCCCAACCTTTAGTTAATCTGCCAAAAAGGCCACATTATTCACCCGAAAGTACACTTCAGATGCTCAAGTTACTTGACATGCTTCACGCTTTGAAATTTCACCGATATCTGTTACGGTTCTTCAAAAAAACGTTCACATGTAACAGGTTTATCTCTCATTCAGAACAATGAAAATGCTTTCCTCTCACTAATCACCATGGAAACCTCTGATCTCTGGACACATCGTTAGCTCAAATATAAACACCTGTGTCATGGAACACGATGATGTCATAACTCCAATTGACATAATTAGAGCAGCAGACTAATGACGTGGTCACTGGAGTTTAACAGACTGTCTTATTTTCCGTCTGATGGAGACTACTGACTTCAACATGTTCCACATATTTTAGACATTATTGGTGAAGTATGCTTTAAGTTCTAAAGTTTTCAGTTAAAATATTCTGCTGCTTTTTCATGCATTTAGACTTTTATTTTCTTGTTCTTATTTCACATTCAAGTCCCCTCTATTCATGAACCCTTTAAAGTACTCAGCCACACCACTTATATACCACGTGTGACTGTTGCTATGTCAGTTAATCTTTCAAATACAAGGTTGCTTGTTTGATTCAAGCTCTTGTAGTCAATATGTCAAGGTATTTATCCCTAACCTTTTATCAGCTAACTAATGACACACACTCAGAGGATCTTTATAAACGTTTTAAGTATTGCACATCTTATAAATCACTTTTAAAACCAGCGATGCACTACAGTCAGCTTTTCTAAAATTTAAACTTCAATGTTCACATCTTTCTAAATGATTCTACTTTTCAATGACCTACAAATAATCCTAATAATAATCCCATTTTCAATCTTTCAACTGTTCATATTTTTTGGTCAATTAATAAACCTGTTACAAATGTTTTATTCAACAAATTTGAGCCGTTGCCACATTTATTTGATCACCATGGAAACCTTTGATCTCTGGACACGTCGTTAGCTCAAATATAAACACCTGTGACACGATGAGAACACGATGATGTCATAACTCCAACTGACATGCTCAGAGCAGCAGACTTCAGATAATGGTTAACGGTCCAGCCCTCAACAGCTCTACGTCAATGATGGGGTGTCATCATATGCCGTTTCCATGGAAACGCATCCCTCGCCATAAAATAGGATATCGCTGTAACTCCAATGGACACGGTCCGATCGTCCCCCAAACATCGCTTGTATATCACCGGTCCATGCCTCAATAGCCTTACGCCAAATCTGAGATCTTACCATAGGCTGTTGCCATGGGAACGCATCTCTCGCCATAAAACACGATGTCGCTGTAGCTCCAATGGACACGGTCCGGTCGTCCCACAATCTTCACCTGTATATCACCTCTCCATGCCTCAACAGCTCTACGTCAAATCTGACATCTCACCATATGCCGTTTCCATGAAAACGCATCCCTCGCCATAAAACACGATGTTGTCGTAACGCCTATGAAAAGGGTCAAAACAGCACCACACTTCAGATAATGGTTAACGGTCCAGCCCTCAACAGCTCTACGTCAATTATGGGGTTTCATCATATGCCATTTCCATGGAAACGCATCCCTCGCCATAAAAGACGATGTCCCTATAACTCCTATGAAAATGTTCAAAAAGTGCTCAAAAATCACATGTGTGCTAACAGTCCAGCCGTGAAGACATCTATGGGACAGTTTTGAGATTTCTTCAAATGCCGTTGCCATGGCAACACAATGCTCACCATGAAACACGGTTTTCTCATAAACTGCAGTACAAATGCTCCAAATGGCCCAAAACTTCACAGGTTTGGTAACGATGCAGCCATCAACGCATCTAAGTGTATTATGGGATGTCATCAAATGCCGTTGGCATGGCGACAGATCATTCACCATCAAGTTAGTTCAAAAGTTTGCAGTTCAAATATTCTGCTGCTTTTCCAAGCCTTTTTACTTTCTTTCTTCTCTCATCACACATTCAAGCCCCCAGTGTTCATGTATCATTTCAATCTAAATTCTTCACTTTCTTCTTACACAATACATTTCAGCACAGCAGTTTGGCGTCAGCTTTTCAGCATAAAGCATTCCCACTAGCAATTTCTTCAGGAATTGCATTCTCAAGTTTTAATTGTCGGTCCATGTGTTTTTAACATCCTCATTGGAAGGTCTTTATAGCACACCTGCCTTTAATATAGCACTAATCAGGGGGCCCACTGTGGGGGTGTTATTGGGGTGTTTGCAGGACTTTGGATCACACCACTCTTCAGTCACGTGGGGGGAATCTGGATCAGCATATTATATGATTGGTATGTTCCACAAAGCAAAGGCTATTTTAAACTTGTGAAAAACAAACATGTCATACCTAAAACATTGTGCATCCCTGTTCTGTAACCAGGGCAGGAAAGGAGTTCCTTGTCTCTCTTTTAGCATGCTAACTAACTGTCACACTGTCATGGCTTAATGAGACCTCGTTATTGTAATTAATAACACCTGTGCTTTTACTTTGACCAGCCAAAACCTCTGCTGTCTTTTACAAGCTTTTTCAGTGTTGAAAGTTTGTACTGTGTATTTAATGCCAGGACCTTATTTTATAGTGACATGCATTTGGTGAAGGAGAAAACCTACATTACTATGCTTAGAGTAAATGTAATAAAAAACAGCAATATGATGCTTATTTCTTTCTTTAAAATGTTTTGTTATACATAGTTTAATTTATCAAAATGAATCCTTTTACTTTCCTGTATGTTATCAAACTTGGTTTCAGTCATTTCACTGAATTGAAAATGTCTACTGAAAAAAGAGGGCAATGATGAATATTTCCTTGTCAAGAAATGTTCTTCTTTCAGGCAAAAGTAATAGTGGACAGCAAATAAAATTTGCCACAAAATGTATCTACTCTCAAAAGTGCACATCTCTGCCCAACAAGTATTTTAATAGTTTTAACTTCAGATCAATCCTCATAATTTGTAACTTCCTTGAATACAAATGAAGCGTTCATGGAATGTATCTCAAACCTTACTCATTCTATTAATTTCTAATGAATAGGAATTATTTACAGATGTAATTAGATGAGTCACAGAAGAGACAGACCACAGTGTGTTGGGTACAGTACATCAGCATTTATTCCATGCAGTTGTTTGCTCAGATTTTATTTCTCCCAGATACCCATTGCACTGTACACTGGATAATACAGGAAACGGACAGGATTGGTTGATCGTAATGCCATTCAACAGGAAAGGGAGTTGGAAATAAGATTAACAAAGAAACAGATGTTTGATACATGGGATGAGGCAAAGATGATGTCTACAGTTAGAGACAATTTCACAGAAATTCAGATGTTAGTAACTGGTGTTTTGAATAAAAAGGAGAAGGGATCTTTGCAGAAGAAGGGATCTTTGCAGAAGCACAGAATCTGCCTCACATGTCTTCAGACTAACATCTCATTTACCCTGCTGTGACAGTCCACTGACTGCTTTTGGTTGTACTAGAAATGTCTATGTTGAGATGAAAACACTTTAGAATGCCTGATGTTGTTGTGAATTATTGATGTAAAGTCTGCTTAATTAATCATAATGTAATTGATGGAAGGTCAAATAATAAAATCAAGCCAATGATATGATGATGCTTTTTGTTCTCCCATACACATACTGTCCTCTTCCCATACCCATTAATTGTGCTTCCTTTAAATAATACTTTTTTTCAGGAGAAATCATAGGTCATGACATTTCTAAAGCTGCCTGAAATTAAAGAACACCTTACCAGTCATTCATAATAAATTAATTCAATAATCATGTAGGCCAGCTACAAAGAAAAAAGATCAAAATTAAATTAAATCTTAACAACAATCATACTTCACAGGATATTGATCGGATTACCCAGTCATTATAATACACTAGGTTATTTCACACTAACGTAAACAGAGTGAAGAAGAGGGTGAAGGAGGCTCAAGGAACGGCAGCAGCGGGGCCAAGACTTTCCAAAGCTTTTAAAGGTAGGGTAGGTAATTCACTTCAGAAACACTTTTTGTTATATTCCATGGAATGCTCTTAACATCCCGATAGCAATGAATAAATGAAATGCTTTGACAATAAATATAATACAAATATTTCATCTGTGGAAGCCGTGGCCATGTAAAAAGCTAGACCAATTATCTGCCCTGGGCCTACCTGCCTGTCAGCCTTCCATCTCCTGCACAAACTTATATCGTGCCCTCATTGGTCATGTACGCGATCGTGTGTGTTGGAGCCTGTAAGGAAGTCTGAAGGAAGGGGCAGATTTTTTTCGGTTGTGTACTTTCAAATTCTAGCGCACTCGAGCTGGTTTCTCCATTCTTACCTACCCTACCTTTAAGCAAAAAAAAAAAAGGGAATTGATCCATCAGCACAATTTTAGATCCGCCTTGTGCTACTCGCTTCTCATGACTCACAAACTCCTGTCAATACTGATACAACACAGATAAAAGAACTTCCTGCTCGTTTTCTACCAGTCGCGCTGGTCCTATTGACAGAAGAGGACAAAGAAAGATTACATTTACAGATGTGTATACAACAGGAGTTACTAACACTGAGATGAGGTTGTTGAAAACCAAGAGCAGCTTTATTGCTCCGGGGCCTCGTCTCTGGCTTTTATTCCTCACTTTATCTCGGCATTCAGCGTACACATGAGCTAACATCTTGACATCTTTAACGTTCAATTCAACCGGCTGGCTGGCTATTTTTCAAACGCAGAATCCTTAAGGATGACAAACACTCTAATAGGGATACAAAATATTTTTTAAAAAAAAGCTCTCACAGATGCAGTATCCCTTTTCAGAGGCAAGAATAGTGATATTGCTGGGATTCTACATTTCGGATGGTGGAGGGAACCTTTAAAGGACATTTTACAAAACACAAGAAAAAGTAAGCAGTTTGTAAATGCCGCCATCTAGTGGCTGTTGATATATTGCTCCTGCTCTCAACAACACAAACCCTGAGCATTAAAAGTGAGTTCATAAAAAGGGGACAATTTAAAAACATAGCATCCATACTAAGCTGTTTTACTCTCTTGTATCTAGCCTGCTAGACGCCCCGGATCCTGAGCAAGCACCTTCTTCCTCACCTGAGCGCCAACCTATATTATTGCTGTTTCATCCATGACAGCACAGAAAGCAATTTGTTTTACCCTGCTAGAAAAATGATAAATTGGAACTGCTGCACCTAGGGATTTCAAGAAATGGGTTACTGCACCTGGAAAGCAAATTAAACGCTCTACTTCTCTACATTACATTTAACGTCAGCAATAAAAGGTTGAACATCAAGGCTATCTGGAGGACCCTTTTTTAATATTCCTATATGGTCCGTAGTATGTGCCGCTTAAAGAGGATCCGTACACAATATTTGGTCCAGTCCAGTTTCTCACAGTCTTCGAACAATCCTGAGATGAGACTTGAAACTGTAATGTCTAATGGAGAAGGAAAGGGCTGTTTTCATACACACTGAAACCTCCCTAAACATCTCCTGATTGATGATGACAATGTCTCGAAGAGGATGAGCTGTGTGAGGAAGAGTTTATTTTTGTTTGTATGGTCTCCTTAACTGTCAGTCTTTGTTGCACCGAGAGCTTGTGCACTTCATGCAGTCCTCTGGCAGCGTTGTGCATTTTTTGCGCGCTGCACAGGCATGCTGGACAGTAAAGAGGAGACCCTGGTGACGGAGGGGACACATGGTTTCTAGGAGTCCGGTTGCTAAGCAGGTTGTTCATGCTGGTGTTTTTATAAGCTCCCCATTCCTCACTCATCATGGTGGGGAGGGGATGGAAGTTGGGGAGGCAGGGTACCAGGGCTCATCATGAAGCAGGTAGATCTTTAGTAAGAGGGGAGGTCCTTGTTGGTTGGGTATTTTGGATCATCATCATTATCATCCTCATCATCATCCTCGAAGCCCATGCTCAGTTTTAAAAATGTTTTTTTTTTATCTGTTCAGATTCAGAGAATTTACAGATTTTCCTTCAAAACTCAGACAAAAATAAATTATGAATGTTCTACTGTACATTATCATTCAAAAGGGGGGATCCCTGGATGCTGAGCTAGAGATGAGAGGGAACGTTTTTTTTTGTAATGAAGATAAGGGATGTTCTGGGCGAGATTGCATGGGGCTTTGCTATAAGGAGCTTTGTTTACAATGTCGTCCTCTTATTGCTGTATCTTCTGCGGGGCAGAGTGGGACCCGAGGGCCTCAAGGCATGAAAAAGAAGCTGAAGCCCTGGGGGGGGCGGGTTTCACCACGAGGAAGGGGCTTTGTTGTTTCTGATGGTGGCATCGGAGCACTCTGCTTCAGACGTATCACAGTCTGAGTCCCCAAACTGTAGTGGATTCTGGGAGGGAAAGAGGGATTTAGTATTAGGGAATCTTGATTGTTTGATGGCATGGCTACATGGATGGCAAAAGTAAACACATCCTTTACTCAAGTAGAAGTACAGATACTCGTGTTTACAGTAGCAAGCCGTGACTTTTATACCTAGGCCCTCTGACTCCCACCCCTTCCCTCGAAAAAAAAGAAGTTATTACGTCACAGCGTATACTTCAGCGGAATATCAAAACAACGGCCCGGGGTGCAAAACGCATCAATGAAAGCGACCCTCTACCACACAAAACAACACCTATAAATAACCCAATTTGTGTTCTTTGAAATTGAAAAGGATATTGCATTGTGTTTGTTACTTTCGTTGCAGTTGTATGTCTTAAGTGTAATTTGGCATGCTTTTATTTTGAAGGTGAGTTTACGCTGTTGAAAGGAAGTTGTTGTTGTTATGGAAACAAGAAAAGTTTCACAGCGGGCGGAACTTGTCATAAAGTCCGCGATAATAAAACCCACCCATTTAGAGGGAAGATATGATTGGTCAATTGTACTGTCATTTGACATTACTCTCTCTTCCAGTTACTATAGCGGGCCCTCTGTGAATTCATAGCTGGACGTCCAACAGCTCCTGTCTTCACCGTAACTCGCAGAGACGAGCTTCTTTCATTTAACCCTTCACATTCAAACGTTAACTGAATAGGCAGATTCCAAGGATTTATTTATTTGGAAATGTTATTTTGAATACAATTAAATCAAGTTATCTTGGTAAAACTAATGAAAAATATTTTTAAATTTTTAAAAAAAAAGAATATAATTTTTTTTTTTAAATGTTTTTAAATATTATTTTGTAGAATATCTTAGGCCCTCAGACAGCTCGCCACTGCGTGTTTAAAAATACTCTGGTAAAAGTAGAAGTACTGACTAAACTTCTTTACTCAAGTAAAAGTAAAGAAGTATGGGCTTCGAAATGTACTTAAGTAAAAAGTACCCATAACTACCAGCTGTTTTAAAGAGTAACTGACCTCCCTTCATATTAATAGAACAATAATGTAATTGTTAGCTAATGAATGTTTCGATGCTGAACAACGGTAACATGACAACGTTTTCATTGGTCCCTCTTGTTTATAGAAGACAAGGAAATGATGGATACACGGATCGTGTTCAAATGACTCTAAATAATAATGATCACGCCACCAATCGCAGTTTAAAACTAAAGTAACAATCCTGTTTTGAAAATGTAAGAAGTAGAAAGTACAGGTATTTGTGTTCAAAATGTAAGAAGTAAAAGTAAAAAGTCGTCAGAAAAATAAGCAGTGGAGTAAAGTACTGATACCAGAAAAATGTGCTTAAGTACAGTAACGAAGTATTTGTACTCTACTACTTCCCACCTCTGCATGGCTATAATGACAGATTTTTACCACAGTACTGACCTCGTAGCTGTGTTCGTCGGAGCACAGTTTCCCCAGGGAGATCTGGGTCTTCACTCTGCGGACGGCGCACTCCTTGTCGGAGAGGCCGTCTGATTGGGTGGAGATGTCGATGGGGATGTCGGGGGTGTGGGACAGCAGCTCATCCAGGTGCTCCTCCTGGCTGGCGCTCAGCCTCTCCAGGGGCCCGCTGTGGGAGTGGTCGCTGGTGTTCCCCTCCTCCCCGTCAGACACTGACAGGTTCTCTGAGCTGAAGGTGGAGTAGGACTGGAAGCTGCTCATACAGCGATGAGGCCTGTGAGGCAGCGGAGGAAGAAAACATACATTATTTTAATCCAGTTGTTCCATGTACATACTGCTTTATACATGTTTCATTGTATCCAGCAAACTACAGTGATTATATTGGTTATGGTGCTGTATTGGTCTGTTCTTTTTATTTGTTGCAGCATGTCATGTAACAGCTTTACAACACAGTGAAGGTCGAGGTGGCAGACTTAGCAACCTAGATTTTACCTCTGTCTCCGTGGAAACTCCACTTCACTATCAACCTCTCCCTCCTCCTCTTCAGACGACTCATCTCCACCCTGTGAAGAAATGACAGCTTTTAAATCACCTTTCATAGCACACACACACACACACACACACACACACACACACACACACACACACACACACACACACACACACACACACACACACACACACACACACACACACACACACACACACACACACACACACACACACACACACACACACACACACACACACACACACACACACACACACACACACACACACACACACCACACACACACACACACACACACACACACACACCACACACACACACACACACACACACACACACACACACACACACACACACACACACACACACACACACACACCTCTGCTCACCTTCCTGAGGGGTCTGAGGGGTCTGAGGGTCCGGGGCAGGGCGCTGGCCAGGGTGTGAGTGCGTTGGGATGCCTGCTGTTCCTGCGGCTCAGCTTTCTTTGCAGCCTCTCCGTCTGAGGCGGGGTCTTTGCTCTGGGCCCCTAAAGAGGACGCCGAGCCTTCCTGGGTGTTGAGCAGGGAGTAGTGAGGCAGCTCCGGGTGGCTGGCTGCAGGAGGGGTCTCCTGACAGTGTAGGCAGCCGGGGAAGGGGTGGGCCTGGCAGCAGGGGCACAGAGACCCAGCACCAGCAGCGAGGCTGGTGCTGGTGGATGAAGTCCGCTGTCGTGTGTTTGCGTCCACAGCGGTTGATATGAGGTCGGGGCTGCAGCCGGAGACGCGGCGCTGCAGGTGGTCCGTCTGAGGGCTGCGGAGAGGGGCGGCAGGGCCGAAGTAACGAAGGTTGTTGGCACAGTTGACAACGGCCTCCTCGCGGCCCTTCAGGGGGAGAAGAGGCCCCTCGGTGGTTGGGAGGTGGTGGTGGTGGTGATGGAGGAACGGCTGCTCCTGGAGGGACTGGGACTCTTCTAACGCTGCGGTGAGAGGCCTCAGCAGGCCGGGGAACTCGCTGTGGCTGCCCTTGCTGTTGGCGCGGCGATGGCGAGGCTTGCTGCGGTAGCGGGCTTTACCGGGAGGGGTGGAGATCTTGGGGCTGGCGGAGAGAGGCGAGGGGGAGGGGAGGTGGTCCAGGCCCGGGATGCCTTCAGAGCGAAGCAAGTCCGGCCTGAAAGAAAGGCATTTAATTAACATTACATAATGTATCTGAATTTATTTGTTTTCCTCATAACTTTATGCCCAATGTGTAAAACTTAAACTTCTGGCTTTACTAGAACCTAATTAAGTAAGTCTGTATTAGTTTATACGAGTTGTACAGTGGCGTATTAGAGAGTTTATTTCTCTTATTAGTGACTTTAAAACCCCAGAGAATACTTTGCTTGGAAATTGTTGATGTTTGTTACCACTTTATAAAAATGTAGTTTTTACACTGAATATTCCCCCGGTAATTCCTTTTTTTCTTTTTAAACTTCAATGGCCCAATGTCAATTATTTAACAGATCAATTTGTAGCTCATCATCTGGATGAACCTGAGAATGCCAATGCTAATCGATGTTTAGCGTCTTACTTTTCAAATGAGCTGCTCGATTCTCTACAGTTCATACCGTTTGGTGTTGGGCATCCCAGGTTTGTGGGACATGCTGCTCTTCTTCTTGATGAGCTTCTCGACAGCGTTGGACCTGGCGATGGGTCGGACCAGCTGGCGCTTATAGGTTCCGGGATATTTCTTCTCCACTGCCGACTCTCTCCTGCAGGGACGGCAGAATTAGTTTGGACAGAGCGCAGCATTCACACACAGTTTCAAGAGTTTAACCAACACTAACATTACTCCACAATTTATCTGAAACTAATACAGATGATCCTACTTTCAGTTTGAATGCAAAAAATTACTTTCTATTTTATTTATTTCTTTGATTGCTTTGTTTTTTTGGAAAACACAGGACAACATATACAGGAATTTTTCAGAAGAGGGAGGAATCCTCACGGGTAAAAAAATGTATCACGGAATTGGCAAAACAAATCTGAGATTCATTTCCCAAGCAAAAATAAGTAGTTGCCTGAGAAGTGCAGCCAAAATGTGAAAAACATGTAAAACACACATCTGAATCAGTGACATCTTTTAAATCACTTCTTAAAACTCTCCTTTTTATTAAAGCCCCTGTCACACTGTCCCGAAATTGACACCCGATGGACCCACGAATATGGAATTGTGAATTTCGCACGAAGATGGCCCCGAACCACACACGAAGGCAACATTTACATTACATTTAAGACATACAACTGCAATGAAAGTACCAAAAACAATTATGTTACAGTACTATGATACTGTACTGATATCTTCAGACTTTGTTCTTTACTTTATCCGTCTTTATATGTAGAAAATATTACGTTTTCTCCGTAATGTTGTTTCCATAGCAACAACAACTTCCTGTCAACTCTCCTTCAAAATAATATATTATATCCTTTTCAGTTTCACAGAACACAAATTGGGTTATTTACATAATATGTTTACATGATTTTGTTGTGCAATAAAACAACCCGATGGACACACGATAAAGGAAATGTTCAAATTCGGCTGTGATCGTAGCAACATCGGGCCATTCGTGAGGGCATCTTAAGCCATCGTATGATCGCTGGTGGAGTTTCTCAGGCTCCGGCAGCAACTTCGTGAGCGGTGGCAAAATCTTTGGCTTGCCAAAAAATTGCCGAAGGACCTTGCGAAGGTTCATTTTCGTGTTGAATTCGTGTGTCAATGTTGCCCTTCGTAAGGCCATCGTGAGGGCATCGTGTTATCATCTGTGCCATCGGGCATTCGCCCCGATCAGAGTGAGGGCGAATGCACCGATGATAACACGAAGATGACACGATTTGACAAGATGCCCTCATGAGTGCCTTACGAAGTTGCTGCTCACGAAGTTGCTGCCGGAGCCTGAGAAACTCCACCGGCGGTCATACGATGGCTTAAGATGCCCTCACGAATGCCCCGATGTTGCTACGATCACAGCCGAATTTGAACATTTCCTTTATCGTGTGTCCATCGGGTGTACATTTCGGGACAGTGTGACAGGGGCTTAAAGCTTTTAACTAATGATGACACCACTCTGTTTGACGCAACATCCATGTATTATTTCTTTTACCTTCTTTCTTTTTTTGTATGACTGCTGCTATGAAATGCTGGATATTTTATTGGGTGGGTTTGGGGAATTTCTCATGCTTTGTTGCCAACTGAACGGTTTGTTTTAATCCATGTAAAGCACTTTGTGACGTTGTTTTGAAAAGTGCTGTATCAATAAAGTTATACTTATTATTATTATTAATAGTGATGTGAATCTTTCGCTGTACTCTGTGTAGTGACAATAAAGGATTATAATCTAATCTAATAAAACACCCTATTGTTCTAGTGTTACAAACTGACTGAAAATAGTTACTTTTTCTCTATTCTCCTCACTAACTAAATATACAAACATTTGTCCTCCTGACGGACCATTGTAAAGATCTCCATTATTTTATTGCTGGAAAAACATTTTATAAAGGAGCAAATAATAGTAAGGTCTGATACTGAGGAAGAGAGCAGGACAGCAGCACATCTAGCTGATGAATACACTGATGAAGGATTTATTGACATACTTCATGAGTTCCTTCTCGCGGACCTCCAGCTGCAGCATGATGGCGCTGAGCTCCATGTACAGGTTGTTGGCTCGCTCCAGCTTCCTCTCATAGTGCTCCCGGATGTCCAGTGCGTGCCTGAGAGAGTTTAGGAAATGCATACAAATGTTTACTTCCAAACACATTACCAAACTACATCATTAACAAGGAGTATGTCACTAAAATACTTTTGAAACCACAACAAGCTATGGGTTGCCTGCTGCTTCCTCTACCTGTAAATTATGCCTCCTTGTGTCTCTCCTCCCTACACACCTGAGTTCATCCCTCCTGCGTCGGATCAGCTCCTCGTCCAGCCTGTGGATGCAAGTGCCTTCACTTTTGATCTTCTCAAAATGTTTCTTCACTTCCTCCCTCCATTCTGACTGTAATATGGATGAACACATACAAAGAAAAATGAAAATCCTCTCTTTCACACATATTCCATGAGACTCAGCACTAAGATAATATAATAGTTATTAGTATAGAGAGAATAGAATAAAGAGATTAATACTATCTATCTTATCTACTGGCTTGTGTACTACTTTATTATTTAAGCACAGCAAACTTGTGTTTGTAAGTGTATAAAGTCCTGTGACAAATACAAAGTGGAGGTTATTGAGTATAGTAGGGCCGACCTGAGACTTGAAGTAGGTCTCCTGAGGAGCTCCCAGGATATCAGCAGCAGCAATGTCGAGGTGTAGGAGGATCTGACGAAACGAGGGCCTATTCCTGGGCTTGCTTTGCCTAAAATAAGCAAATAACAGGGAAACGATATGTAATTATATGAGAACGGTAAGTAGACACCGTTAGCATTTGTCTTAAAGTATAAACGTAGCACCAAACCTTAAAACACCAATATTCTAACAGAATATACAGTGTTATCCACACGCACCATGTTTGTTTCATGAGGATTTTGAAGCCATCCGGGCAGGTGGAGGGGACAGGAAGGTGGAGACTGTTGCTGCCCACACCCCAAATGATGGCGGAGGAGTCCACGTCTTTGTAGGGAATCTCTCCGGTCAGAAGTTCCCACAACACGACCCCAAATGACCTTCAACAGAAAAGCAAAGAGAGTAAGGCGTCAGTACAGCTCCACATTAATGATTTTACATTTCTTTACTGTGTAGTTTTAGTACTTACCAGATGTCTACTTTTTCCGACACAGGCTCATTTCTTATCACTTCTGGGGCCATCCAGGCCACCGTACCCGCAAATGACATCTTTGTACTTTTGTCACTGAGCTCTTTGGACGTTCCAAAGTCAGAGATTTTCACAGTGTCGTTGTATGTGACCAAAACACTGAAAAACAGACACAGACAGAAAACTTGTTAGCAAGGTTTAATCTAGAGAACCAAGAAAGACAAAGCTTCTACAAGTTTACGGTGGTCCTGTAATAATCTTTATCCTCCTCTAGTAATTATAGTGTTCATATAAAAACATCATATTGAAGCCAATCAGTGTCAGAGCGACATTAATCCAGGCCACATGAACCTGTGTTAAACCTTTCAGACTCATTTTTTATCCTGTGACATTTCCACTGGTTTTAAAGGGGGTTGACATTATTTTTGTAGCATTTAAATCCCCAAGCCAAAAAGATGGCTACAGAAGCACAATTGTACATCTGAATCAGCCCATTAGCGAAATGAGACTGACCTTTCCAGCACAGTCAGTAGCCTGCTATCATTCTGCTGACTAATACAGTGTTTGGCACTGCAGCAGCATGATGATATCGATTAGAGGAACAGGGCTACAGTGTGCAGGGGGGGAGGAGCAGGACACTGTTTCGACTCTTATGTCAAGGAGAGAGGGTTTTATTATTTCTGAGAATAACATTAGTTAACGTCAAGACTCCAAAGAGATGAATTGTTGTTGATAATCAACTTGAAGTACCACTGCAGGGCTATTACATAACAGGGAAAAAACAAGAAAACATACTGTACTCCTCTACTGTAGATCATTTGCAGCTTTACGTACCGACGCATTGAAATTTAAATTATATCTATTACTATTCAACACAATTATAAGTGGGGGACCTGCTCAATGTAAAGAATATAAGAATAATTTGCATAGTATTAGAAAACGCAGTGGCTGAAAATGAACAAAAACTAAATGTTTGATAGTGATAAGATAATTGATAATTTCACATATTTAAAGTACAGAAGTTCATAACCTATAGTTTACCTAAGATTAAGAAAGGATAGGGTGTAGTCAGCAAAGATGGATGATTCAATATCCCAGCGCTAACCTAACTGATATTATAGTTTTTACAAAACAAAACAAAGAACATTAAAACTTATTTTGCCAATGTGTTGTTTTCCTTTGAAACTCTGAACAACATCCAAACTAGGACATGTCTGGCTCTAGTCCGAGTACTGGGGCCGATCACTAACCAGTGAGAAATGTGGCTTTATATTATCGTTATAATTAATATTCTTATTCATTTTGCATCCCCAAAACGAAATACACTTTCATTCTAAAGTACCAGGAAAGGAGGAAACTCACTTGGGAGACTTGAGATCCCTGTGGATGATCTTGTGCAGGTGCAGGTAGTTCATGCCGCTGGCGATGCCCGTGGCCCAGTCCACCAGCATCCGGGGGGTCACCTTCCTGCCGGCCCTCAGCACCTCATACAGCTGGCCCTGAGCACAGTACTCCATGATGATGCAGTAGCAAGGCGCCTGGGTGCACACACCCCTGAGATGGACAAAAAACAGGAACAATGGTTTAAAGACTGATGGATCCTGATAAGGACAACATGTTTCAACCTTGCACATTTGCATACTATCAGGTAACATGTTGTTATTCCTACTTGAAGCTGATGATATTTGGGTGCTTGAGTTTTCTCAGGGGTTTGATGTCCGTCTCCTTCTGCTCACGCACTTTCTTGATGGCCACCTCCTCAGAGCGGAAATTTCCCAAGAAGACGGCGCCCTGAGCACCGCTGCCCAGCCACTTCAGCTCTGAGATCTCCTCGAATGGAACCTCCCACATGTCTAGAAACAAGAACATGACATTTTGTCAAAATAAAATATTATGCGACAGTGTGAACGGTATATGATTGTCAATTGTTTTTCTTTCTCCCCCTTATTTTCTTCCATACTCTTATTTGCTCTTTAGAGGAATCGTTCGAAACTAAGCTCATTGTCTTTTTGCTGAGAGTTAACTAAAAAAGGAACAGTAAATATGAAGCTTCAGCTAGCAGCACAGTTAGCACAGCTTAGCACAAAGGAAATGGGCAGATACAGTTAGGCTGGCTTTAAAAGTACAACTTAAGCTCACAAATGAACTTCTTGTTTGTGTAATTTAATAAAAAAAAAAAAAACAAGAGTAAACATTACCATTTTTCAATTTTATTTTGGGTTGGGCGTGAACAACATCTTGGCTAAACGGAGCCTTACCTCCTAAAGTCCTTTAAAATAAATCACCATTTTTCTTGAGGTTGAACCTAATTACAAAACGTTCAAATAAGGGACATGTAATTTAGGTTCGCGATGACCACTCCTTTGAACACCTCAGAGTTATAGAAAAAGAAAAACACACCCAACATGATTCACACTAAATGTCATATTTCAGGCCAAACCAAGCAAATAAATACAACACCCTGGGCATAACTGTTATAACTGTCAAAGGATGAATCATATACTTTTCCATCCTTGCTATGGGGTTTAGAAAGCAGAGCGGAGGAGAGGCTATGATGCTGAAATCTCCAGCCACATTCAGACATTAGCTAAGAAACCACGAGACCAAGCCCAGTTCTGTCTGACCTCGACTCTGTGCGACTCTACCTTAACCATGACCTCGATTTAGACTGACAGCTGACCCGCCTCGCCCACAACGGCAATATGGTGAAGCTGGAGCCGGCTATTCAATTACAGTTTCAGACTACATCAGGAGAAACAGGAGGGAACTAGAGTTTGTTTTTCAGAAGGCTTAAAGGGACATTTGAATTAAACACAGAGAATTAAGTTTCCTGAATTGAAAGGTAAACCCAGAACTCACCTTGCTGTTGTAGCTTGTATTCTGTCGAGTACGTTTTCCCTATGATGTTCCAGACAGGTCGTAGACAGCCGAACAGCCCCTCCAAGAACCCCCCCGAGCCGGGCCCCGCTCTGTGGAAATGCAGCTTGATGTCATCGGGGTGAGGATGGTGGTGGTGGTGGGTCTCCCCCCCCTCTTCACTGTAGTCTGCTGGACAGTCTAACATCTGCTCCTCCGTCACACTCCCACAGCCGTGCTCACAGGGAGCGTTCGGAGACCTGGCCTCCTCGTGGCTCTGCTCCTGCAGCTGGAGCACGCTGTTGTCAAAGTGTCCGCCCTCGCTCCGGGTCGAGTCCACGCTCAAGGCTATGTTCGGGGGAGTTACACCCCCCAGCACTGAGTCCTCGTCCTGAACGGGCGTCTGCAGCGTCTGCAGGGGGACGGGCAGGTGCGTCGGCGGGGCGAGGTCCGTGATAATCTGAGGAGGTAGGTTGAGAGGAGGCGCCTGAGGAGGCTGAGAGTTGGGCGCGTTTGAGTTCTTCATGTTGTCCCCGACCACGGTGAGTTTGAGCTCCTCTTTCAGTTTGCCCACCAGCAGACTGGGGCAGGACGTCCACGAAAGCACCTCGGGGGAGCTACCCATGGTGTCGTGCACGTGCATGGGCTACCCAGTGACAGTCAGCGGGGTGCGTCCTAACACACTGGTTTGTCTGAATGCTGAAAATCACCTGCAGAGTGGACACAAGAACGAGAGGGGGAGGTTATCTACAATATTACGTCCATGGGAAATGAAATACAGATTATCCATTTGGATGATTGTAGACACCCCTCATACAACATAAACACGAACTGTTGCCATGGGAACCTAGTACTTCCACCAGGAGAAATGAAATCCTCTAATTTCCTCTCATGGATCTGGGATTGAGAGAGCTTACATTAATGATGATTATTTTTAACTACGGAGTGCAAACACTGCAGGATGGAGGAGATCAGACATATAAGAAAGGCTTTAAATCAGGGCACACAAGACAGGATTTTTGAATGAAAGACATTGCACAGCGGATAAAAATAACGCAATTCTGGGAAACTTCCGGGAAACAGTCGGGCTAAACCAATAATAACACAGACACACACACAACTTCACTATTTTCTCTGTGCAGCAGTAACAGTATAGCAGGGATTAAAAGTCTTGATGTGTATTAGGACAGCTGAGAGCAAAACATCTGGCATGCACATCCCATTCTCACTACTTAGTAACCAGCAGGGCCGGCAGGAGCCACCACGGGCCCTTAGCCAGCTGCAGAGCGGCACATCCAAACCCTCTACACTGCCTATTAGTGTATGTATGGATAGTGGTACAAACTGTAAGCCCCATTGGCAAACTGTTTATAGAAATCATAGCCAGACAGGTGAGTCTGTGTTTTGTTTAATTAAATACCTGAAAAATGAACATATTATCACAAGAAATTGTCCCACTATTGAAAAGTGTTATAAAAATCCATTAATTAGAGCTGTTTTTTTATTTGCACCTTTGTCTGCAATGGCCAAACACAGAGATATTAAAAGGAATAGCTTGTAGTATATGATTAATATCATAAAAACATATCTTGTTTTATTTGATTAATCTACAAGTACATCTATTCATATTGTTTTAACCCAGTGGTCGCCAAAACCTGAGAACACATATTTCTCAAACATGGCAAATGGAAAATATATATGTACAGCTGCAGAGGATTTAACAGCTTAAAGAATAAACAAGGATAAAGAAGGATAATATGGTGCAACACACAAATCCCAACTCAGGCCCCTTACTTCCTTTTTCTGAGATGCTAGTAACACCTCACAGTCTTCATAAGCGAATGAACATTTCCGGTGTCATAAATGATGAACTTTTTGGATAAAAGCTTTAATCTTGATAATGAGGATTTATAGCTAAAATGCGTTTCACTTATTTGAGATGTAGTTAATCAGGAAACGCTTCATTGAGATAAAGAAAAACGTATTGCCAGAGAGGCAGGAGCATAATACTCAAAGTTTCAGACATGCAGTGTTTAAGAGTTACAGGAAACACAACTCTGATACAAGCAAGAGTGCAGTTCTTTCTCTCCTTTTATCTCCAGGAGGACATGCCCTTATAAATCCAATCAAGTTTGAAGAGACAGTAGGAAACAGAGAGAGCGATATAGGGAGAGGCTGTACAGTGTGTACAGTCGGGAACAGCAGATCAAAGTCCAGGAGGTAGGAGACCGAGAGGCTGTGAGCTGGCTCTGTGTTACGTGGAGGTTTCCTGAAGGGGACACGCCAGCCATGAAGTCCTTTTGAAACGCACTTTGTTTATGTTGCTCTCTGCCGCGAACACTGACATGAACGCACAGTTCTTCCTTTGGGCGTAGGTCAAAGTACAAAAAATAGACCCCATGGATACAGATAACTTTGCTGCTGAAATGCTGCAAAGCTTTGACCTCAAGCCTGCAATCCACAGTCCAACATGTGTGTGTGTGTTTAATAATGCATTTGGCATTTTGCCCTTTGGGAAACGATAATAACAGAAAAGATGGGGAAGGAGAAGGGGGATTAAAAATCCTTGACAGGAGATGCTCTCAGTTACATGAGATGTGTCCTAGACCTTTGCTCCGAGCAGATGCCGCTTACATGTTTGTGTGAATGCATGTACTGTATCTGTGTATGTCTATCGAGGGGGGTAACCTGAGCGCTGTGAGAGTGTAGTGGCTGCCAGAAGCTCATCTATAATGCAGGGCCGTCTCTAAGCAGGTTGCTGAGAGTGCAGGGGAAGGAGAGAATGCTCTCTCAGGTATCCAATAAATCCGTCCCTTCCACAGCCAAGACAATCGAGCTGTGCGAGTAGGGGCCCGCGCTGTAATTCCACCCCACGGACAATTCTCGGAGCTGGGCTTCTGACGTGGGCCCCGGCGGGTGGATGTGGTCGGCTGGACAAAAACCCTCAAGCACTGTAACCCCTATAACCCAGCTAAAACTGCACCATTTTCTTTTCACTACAGGGCACAGTCTGACATAAAACATGATGCCTTTGTGCCTCTTGTAAGTTTGACCCATGTGTACTCTCCTTCCTCACAGGCTGAATCAGGAGTACGTGTATCTATATCTGATGCCAACAATAGGAAACGGACCTCTCGCTCTCTCCCATTAATCTCTAATTGAAGATCTCCATGTGCATTGAAACCCATGAATAATGTTTGGGCGTCCGGGTTTCATTTCCACATTTATTTATTTACAGGACTTTCCGAAAGAGACCGTGATTGGGCAAAAGGACACAATGACCGCTGTTTGTTACATGTTTACATGGAGTATGCTAGATATAGCTTCAGAGAATGTAACAATGCAGATGGTCAGCAGAATGGATGGAGAGAGAGAGAGGAGAGGAGAGAGAGAGAGAGAGAGAGAGAGGAGAGAGAGAGAGAGAGAGAGAGAGAGAGATAGAAATGATCAGGGGCTGATCCTTTAATCCCTCTAGGGCTCTAGAGACAAGCTTGTACAAACACAGACCCTATTCAGCCCTCCCCCTCTATGTATCCTCTAAACACTTCCTTTCATTTCTTCCCTCTCTAAAGGCCACCTAATGTCAACAGCATCACAGCTAGAGCATCCTTAGTGTATGAAGACACTTATAGCTGTGGCAGAGAAGGAACTCACTGATATTCTGTACTACACCACACTTTATATGAGTGTGTGTTTGTGTGTGTGTATATGGCAGCTGGCGATGCAGTGGGATCAGGTTCCGAGACCACACGTGCTCGCACACACACACCCACACACATGCCCGGGGTGTGTCCGGCAGGATCCAATAATCCCACTACTCCCAGCAATCCTCTGGGGAGTGGAGTTTTTTTTTTTAGGCACTCAGCAAATGCCAAAATGGTCGTTTCGATTTTGTTTCTACAGACTGTATCTTCACAAAAGCAGTTGGACCTTCCACACTATATTAATGCAGCAACAGACAGACCTTTAACACACACAGAGGGGCGCATTGCATTCATGCTCACACTCACACACAGCAGCAGCAGAGTCCTCTGTGTCTCTATCATCCCGCTCCTCATTAAGGGAAGCCCTGCTGGGCCCCACAGGGGGAACCTCCCCTTAAAAGGTGACAGCTGCGCCACCAACAAAGAACCAATTTAGCTGCTATCCCACCTCATCATTCACACGTTACCATGTCAACACAGCATCCATCCTGACCTTCTGCTACCAGTCACACTCAGTCTCATCCAACACTCAGGTTTGGAGAGGCCAAAAAACCCTTTTTGAATCCACTCAGGCTGTCACACAGGGAGAGAAGAATAGTGTTGGTTTTAAAGATCATACTGTGTGTTCACCGTTTTCTAAAGTGGAGAGTGGTTCAACTTTCCCAAATAATATTTTGCGTATCAGAATGTATTTACTTTTCTTTAACAACAATGTACATGTTATAGCGGTCATCCCAAAAGAAGATGGATACACATTTCTGTCTCATACCAACCCCTTTAACAACGAATAAGATAACATTACATACACAGACATATGACTGCAACACTGAACAAGAGTAAAACACAGATTATGTCGAAGGAAAGATAAATACCTGCTCAAGAACTCCTCGCTTAAAACAAACTGAGAAATAAATTGATGCTGAGAGCAGCATTCGTCTCCGATGAGAGCACCGCAAGTAATCAATAAGTGTATTAAAGTATAATAAAACTGGACGAACGCAAAAGTCTCTTCCCATCAGTAGCCGTGGACTCTCTTTGTGCTGAACGACACATGCGACCGTTATTCTGGGTCACAGTTGAACAGCTGAACTCTGGTATCTGTGCTCGTCTCTCTTGTCAATGCAGACTATGGACTTTCATGGCCAGTGTTCATCATGTGAGTAACAAATGTTATGAAACAGAAATCTGGAAACACGCTGTTCATAGATTTCTTTGTCATACGAGGCAGAACGAATTATAACATTTTAGGCAATTTGAACATCATCGGAAACACGACTCTGGCCCTGATTTGATAGTCGGATGTGGGCCGATGTCTAAATCAGCTTTCCCTCGCCATGAGTCCTGCCAGAGGGGATTGGACAGCCGGCAGTAGGTGGGTGAAAGTAATAATCTGCTGCGGTGGAGGAAAATAAACAAATTCTGGCACAGCGTTCGGGCATCTGCCGTCACACAGCCGACATTTCCCTATAATCCCTGTTTCTTCATCTTCTGATTCCCTATGGTGACTCACCTGAGCTGGTTCAAGTACCTGGTGGTGGCTGGAGGGGGAAACTAGCCACAGAGCAATAATCCCTGCCTGCCTGTTTGGAGTTTACTGGGGTTGCATGGGAAATAAAAGCAAGGTCAAGGCAGCACCTGCTGAGGCCCAACTGGGGGAAATCATCACCTTGAATATGCCTTTTTTTGCTGTGATGAATGGATTTATCAGAGAGAGGAAGAGGGTGATTGAAACTCACAGTTAACTGACAGGAGGATGAAAACCAAAACAGCTACACCTCGGCTTCTCCTTCTGAAATCCAAAACATCAATGACTGACTGCGTGTTTGTGAATGAGTTTAACAGACCCAGCTAAACAACATGCTCTAGCAGAATAACACATTAAGTTCAGGGTTAACAAGACTGTGAATCCTTAGCACTCCAAACACACACAACTCGTGCCTCAAATAGCCTCAGCCAGTACGAGCCAGAATCAGAGAAAATAAATAACTGAAGAAAAGAGTGTGCACCATCGACACGTCACACACTCTCCCTCTGGCTTCATTCTCCCAGCCTCTCAGTGAGGCTGCAACCGGCACTGCATCCAGGACACACAGCCTCCTAAAATCTGCAACTACCAAGCTAACTCGGCTCCATAAAAACCCACAGGGCTTCAATATCGGCCTTTTCAGTCAAGCATGCTCTTTGTTCCAAGCTATTCTTAAAAGGAAAAAGCTTTATGGAGCTCTTTTTACGAGTGCTAACCAGATCCATCCGGAAAGAGATGATGAATGCAAACAGACAGAAAGGGACGGTGAGACCAAGGAGACAGTGGAGGGGGAGAATAGCTTAGAGAAAAGTAGAGGAATAAAAGCACATTAGGGGGACAGAGGAGGATATGGAAGGTTATGAATGAGCAAAATAGCGAGGACAATTTCATGGCTGGAAACAGAGAAAGAGTTGAAAATGAAAGAGAGGTGAATAAAAAAAAGGGAGAAAAGAGAAAGTGATTTTCTGCTGCTGTGGTTGCTCGCAGCACAATACTGTACCGAGCACGCTCCAATGGGAAAGACTCCCAGAGCAACAACAAAGGACACAAGAGGAGCCGGCTCCATGTGAACTGGGCCTGTCTGCGCTGCACGGCCAGGAGACAGCAGCACACCCTCACACACACACACTCCACACAGCTGCTGCCACAACAATCCCCCTTGTGCTCCTTTAATAGGGACGGTCTGCCTGGCCCGCCAACAACAAGGAACAGACGCACACAAAAAGTGACACAGACACACACACATATGGCAGGAGGCTGGCTGCGACTGGCACCATTTGAATGGCTGCAATATGAAAATACACAAAACTGTAGAGCTAAAGATTGAAATGGGAGCTGAACAAAAGGAAGTGGATGTGTTGAGCTGCATGTGCTGTACTCTAAAGACAGACTCAGCCACAGGAAATCAATACACATTAATGCTTCTATAGCTCCTCAGTTCATACATCTCATCAATGTTTAAATATTTCATCTTTTAACCCGAGACACTCTAGAAAGAAAGTCCTCATACAGTGGGGCAAAAAGTATTTAGTCAGCCACAAATTGTGCAAGTTCTCCCACTTAAAAAGATGAGAGAGGCCTGTAATTTTCATCCTAGGTACACTTCAACTGTGAGAGACAGAATGGGGGGAAAGAATCCAGGAAATCACATTGTAGGATTTTTAATGAATTAATTGGTAAATTCCTCGGTAAAATAAGTATTTGGTCACCTACAAACAAACAAGATTTCTGGCTCTCACAGACCTGTAACTTCTTCTTTAAGAGCCTCCTCTGTCCTCCACTCGTTAACTGTATTAATGGCACCTGTTTGAACTCGTTATCAGTATAAAAGACACCTGTCCACAACCTCAAACAGTCACACTCCAAACTCCACTATGGCCAAGACCAAAGAGCTGTCAAAGGACACCAGAAACAAAATTGTAGACCTGCACCAGGCTGGGAAGACTGCATCTGCAATAGGTAAGCAGCTTGGTGTGAAGAAATCAACTGTGGGAGCAATTATTAGAAAATGGAAGACATACAAGACCACTGATAATCTCCCTCGATCTGGGGCTCCACGCAAGATCTCACCCCGTGCGGTCAAAATGATCACAAGAACGGTGAGCAAAAATCCCAGAACCACACGGGGGGACCTAGTCAATGACCTGCAGAGAGCTGGGACCAAGTAACAAAGGCTACCATCAGTAACACACTACGCCGCCAGGGACTCAAATCCTGCAGTGCCAGACGTGTCCCCCTGCTTAAGCCAGTACATGTCCAGGCCCGTCTGAAGTTTGCTAGAGAGCATTTAGATGATCCAGAAGAGGATTGGGAGAATGTCATATGGTCAGATGAAACCAAAATAGAACTTTTTGGTAAAAACTCAACTAGACGTGTTTGGAGGAGAAAGAATGCTGAGTTGCATCCAAAGAACACCATACCTACTGTGAAACATGGGGGTGGAAACATCATGCTTTGGGGCTGTTTTTCTGCAAAGGGACCAGGACGACTGATCCGTGTAAAGGAAAGAATGAATGGGGCCATGTATCGTGAGATTTTGAGTGACAACCTCCTTCCATCAGCAAGGGCATTGAAGATGAAACGTGGCTGGGTCTTTCAGCATGACAATGATCCCAAACACACCGTCCGTGCAACGAAGGAGTGGCTTCATGAGAAGCATTTCAAGGTCCTGGAGTGGCCTAGCCAGTCTCCAGATCTCAACCCCATAGAAAACCTTTGGAGGGAGTTGAAGGTCCGTGTTGCCCAGCGACAGCCCCAAAACATCACTGCTCTAGAGGAGATCTGCATGGAGGAATGGGCCAAAATACCAGCAACAGTGTGTGAAAACCTTGTGAAGACTTACAGAAAACGTTTGACCTCTGTCATTGCCAACAAAGGGTATATAACAAAGTATTGAGATGAACTTTTGTTATTGACCAAATATTTATTTTCCACCATAATTTGCAATACATTTTTTTTTCTCATTCTGTCTCTCATAGTTGAGGTGTACCTAGGATGAACATTACAGGCCTCTCATCTTTTTAAGTGGGAGAACTTGCACAATTGGTGGCTGACTAAATACTTTTTTGCCCCACTGTAGATGTGAATATGCAGCCATTATTCTAAACGCTGTGTGGAGAATGGATGGATGGAGTTCTCCCCTCCTCCTCCTCCTCCTTCTTCTCCTCCTCCTCTTCCTCCTCTTCCTCCTCTCCTCTAAAGCCCGGCTGCCGGCTACTCATCCTGTGCAGTTACATAAACATGCTTAGTAACAGAGAACAGAGGTGGGCACACACAGAGCTTTCATACTGCAGAGGACAATGAAGAGATGGATGAAGATGCAAAGTGGGGTGAAAAGTCAAGGATGATGAAAAAGAAACTCAATCTAGAAAATCTGATGTGTTTATATGCTCATACGGAGATGCCAGTGGGTGTGTGCAGTACACGTGTGCCCCAGAAAAAAGTCCGTCAGCACAGCGTCATAATACCCCCGAGTATCATATGGCTGCTCCATCAGGAGGTGGAGGTTCAGTAAGTCTATACCTTTCCATCTCGTCCTGTCCTTCAGAGGGCACAGAGAAGTACTGCATCAAAAAGCAGCAGCAGCAGCAGCATCACCGCTGAGGCTTAAAATAGCTCCTTCACGCACCGACGCACGACCGCTCGACACACTCCTGCAGCACTGAGCAAACACTGACACAGCAGCTGATTCACATACAAACAGCACACACACACACACACACTTGAATGTGCACACACACACACAAACATCAGATAAATGCCATGAAAGAAAAACAACATATAAGAACTTAAGTACCTCCACATCGCACCGCTTCCACGCAGATGTACGACAAAGACGCAGCGTCAGCAGATTACTCACAGCAGACAGAGCTCAGATCCATGGTCCTCTCAAAGCTCTGAGGCAAGGATGGGAAGGGGGGGAGAAAAAACTGAACCGATGGTAAAGATGGAGAAAAACAGCAAGAAATGCAGGGATAGAGGGAGAGTGACGGACATTCCTCCAACTCCCGCAGCACCTGCGATGTGAGTGGGTGGGTGGCAGCGTCACCGGGTCGCTGAAGACCTGCTCACGTCACACTTTTCATGAATGGAGCTGCCTGACGCAGAGAGGACGCGGCTCCAAGAGCAGGGGGGAGGGGGAGCAGGAGGGGGTGGAGCTCTCTGTTCAGACTCCGAGAGGAGGAGTAAAGAGAGATGAAGAGGAGAAGAGAAGGAGGGGGGGATGCATTTCAAAGCAGCACCAGCTGGCAGCAGCAGGTTAGGCTGCAGTGTAAGTAGGACAGACTGTTTCGGCACTAGAGAAAATCCCTTTGTGCAGAATCACTCATCACTTCCCTCCATGCCACTTGTTTCAACATCCCATACATGAGTGCACTATATTCTAACATGGTCTATCCATTGTTCACACTTCACACACACAGTTCAGACCTGCTTCTGTACTCAATGAACTCTGGATATGTGAGTGTAGTCATCACGGTATTATGATTAACCCACAATGTCGATACAGGGTTTAAATGCTCAGCGCAACCGCTAAACTAGATGTCAGACAATCCTATTTGATGGTATGTCTGTGTGTAGAACATGACCTTTTATACCAATAGCAGCTGCATTTGGCTGATTTTGCCAACTTTCTCACGATGTGGAGCACACAAATCTCAATTCAAACCACCAGACAGACGTCTATACTCAGGAGGAACGAGAAAGTTCAAGCTTCAGGGCCGAAAGGACAGCTTAGAAGAAATCTAAAGGGCAGAGCCAGAATGTCAGAAGAACCCTTCGTTTCTCTCCCTCTCCCCCCAAAGGTCATTTAATGTCTCTCTCAATGTCCCGCTGAAGTAAAAAAAAAAAAATCATTCAGCTTCTTAGTCCATTTGTGTGGGTGTGTACTCACCTGTCAGGTGGTTTCTGAGCATCTCACAGGTCAGCTGGGGGTGATCTGATCTCAGGTCAGGCTCTATGACCTGCATAAACACACAGAGCGGTCCATATGAGTGTTAGTCCTTTTACAGAGAGAGGATTGGTGTGCTGAACATGTCTTATGCACATACAGTATGGAAAGTAAACAAAGGTATCACCATGTCCAGCTATTTTAGGAAGAGATGAAGATATTTACTGAACATATAGGGCTGCTGTGCCTGTCTTTAGTGTAAATATCTGTTTGTGAGTGGAGTTGGCAGAGATTGAGACTGACATAAATCAAGAGAGACTAATTGAGAGGGAGGAAAGGCTCGGGGAACAGATGCTCCCCCCCCGCCCGTTAGCGGCCCAAACCTCTGGGGAAGATATCAAGATTGAGGGAAGGGTAGGAATGTAATGATGCATGCTGGGTGGGGGGTTGGGACATTTGGATCAGCTAAATCTCCCTTCTCAGGCCACACCCCAGCAGGGGACACTGCCAGAGGAGGAGGTCCGGTGTCCCGGGGCGAGGCTGAGACTTCCAAACACGGCTGTTAAATGGCGTGAAATGACAGCCAAGTGAGTCACGGTGCAGATGGCCGAGAGTCTAACGTGGTTCTGACGTTAGGGAGTGAGGAGCCTATTGTTAGATGTGTTAAACTACAAAGTGCAAAGTACAAAATGAACACAATGTCAAGCATTCTTTAGCCCTGAGGAGGACAAGAGTGGCTGTAAGCAGAAATCAGTATTCCTGCCATGTGCCTGAAGACGCACTCCTGTAAAAAGACACAGCATGGGAATTCCCAAAAATACAGCTCTAGTTAAACATTGGCAAAGAGAGAGCGCAATATGAGGCCTGGAGTTTAAATACCTGACCTGTTTGCTTAGCAAGAACATCTAGCTCTGCTCTAAAGCTAAACTCCGAAGGTCAGCAGATCACAAGCCAGCGTGCTCACATGGAAACAAGCAAAGCCTCATTATATTCCAAAAACAAGCTTAAAACAACCTCAACTGCCTCAAATATGTATTTTAAGCAAATATAAACTTTTATAGCTTTAAAGCCAAGGCAGTTATCATAATTTCACTTTAGATTTGATGGGACAAGGCCAAATAAAACTCAAACATTTGTGTTTTTTGTGCTTTGACAAAAACCCAAAATGGTTGACCACAAAAGGTTTGCATAAATAAAAACCACATATGCTATAATATGAAAGAGACCTAAATAAGGTGAATGTCCCCCTCATTAACTAACCTTTATATATACAGTCTATGTCTCAAACTACACAAACTTTGTTTATTTGACTAACAGTTGGCAGTGGTGTGACATAATCATCCGTTTACTGTTGTGTTTTAATGTGCAGTGTTGTTTCAAAAGATTGGGTCTTCTAAGGTTAATTAAAAGTTTCAAATATCATTGGGGAGCGACACGCAGTGCAGCAGCTGAAATCTGAGCGTATTTACTTTCTACTTTAATTATGGCTTACTCAGGTAGAAACTGCATTGGCTGTCTGTTGAGAAATGACATTGCAGATTTCTCAAATCAAAAGATACAAAATCTCCATGCTGGGATTACAGAACACTTCTTTTATGATCATGACGAGTAAACAACAACTCATGGCCTCTCAACACATCTCTGCTGTGCCTACCATCTGCCATGTTTACTTGTGTTGGATCAACATTATTTATTGATAATGTTTAGCTCTAACCAGCACAATGTCATAGATATGTGTCAAATATATCATGATTCAGTATATGTTTTACATTATGAGTTCTAAGTTGGTCTTATTATATCCACTACTTGACTAAGAAAAATGTTGAAGACTTTTTAAATCCAAACAATTATGCTACACATTTATATATTCCAAGCCCCTCAATAGAAAGCCAGATCTAAATTACGGCTATGATCAGGTATTGACGTCCTTTACTCAGTTTTTTGTATAAAACATTTTTAAATAAACGTTTCTTTCCAGCGGTGGCCGGAGCCTCCTGTTGAGTCTCCATCAGCGACAGTCAGTCAGTCAGTCAGAGCTTCAGCTGTAAACCACACCGTTATACACACTCATTACTATTTCACCAGCAGCGGAACAACAGCACTGACAGCTCCTGTGTCCTCCGCATGAATAAGAGAATAAGCACCATCGCAGTTTACAGCGGTTTACCTTTACAATCTGCCATCGCATGCAGCCGCCAGGTATACACACATGCTGGCCCACATACACACAAACACACAATCTCTAAGGAGGACAGGCACATCAATTTGACTTCTTGAGGGGTCTGCTACATTTTAAAAACAAAGTTCAGGTATGTGTCGATCGCACTGTGCCCAATACAACTGGTGGAATAAGTTATGAGGTCGAGCAAAATCACCAAAAAATCAATTCAATGATAAAATAACTCACTCTAAAGAAAAGTAGAGTTCACTTGAGCTGTCCGATGAAATCAACATAAAAGGAATGCATGCTTTACTCACTTGGTAAAATGATGGGGTTTTTATAATAATAATAATTCCTTACATTTATTATAGCGCTTTATCAATGACTCAAAGCGCTTTACATATACACACATTACACATATACTGTGGACAATACCCACAGGAGCCAGTTCAGGTGAAGTGTCTTGCCCAAGGACACACCGGCTTTACAGACGCAGCAGCGGCGGGTTTCACCCCTTGATCTGATGATCATTGCACAGCGCACTGCGCCACACCGTCCATCTTCACGCCTCGAAGACATCGAGGCGCTTTTACAGGTACACATTGGTATTATACATGTACTGTGGACAATACCCACAGGAGCAAATCCGGGTGAAGTGTCTTGCCCAAGGACACAACGGCCTGACGCAGTGGCGGCAGGAGCGGGTTTCGAACTGGAGTTCCCCAGCACTCCCCCTTGATCTGATGATCGGATGCACAGACCACTGCGCCACCCGTCCCGTTTTTATAGTGCGCGTTGTGTGTCACCTTTATATTCTTTGTCCCTTTATAAATCCAGCTTTAAAATATTTTAATAATAGAATAACTATTTATTTTATTATTACCAATGGTAATCCTATAGCCGGCAGTCGCTCATGTCTTTGGATAAAATGGAGTAATTGGATGGAGAAAGTCAGATGATTCAGGGAAATATGTGAACTAATGAGGATAGATTGGTCCTTAATATGTTAACTTCATGCGAGAGGATAAACCCGTTTGCCTAAGATGGATAGAGACAGAGTGGCCTGGCTCATTGGTTGGCTTGGTAAAGGCATGCATGGATGACTGAGTCCTGCACACAACAACCGCTGATTCTGAGAGGCAGATAATGCTTGTGAGATTACTGTGCTGAGCCCACCAACAATCCCACAGCCTGACCAATCCACGCTGAGAGGACATTACATAACAATGACTGTTCATCACTCCCGCAGGATTCTGCCCGCACCACCACATCCGTCCTTCTCTGTCGTGAGTCCAGACGAGACTGGTGAACGGATGAGGAGCAGCAGACAGGAAGCCGTCCTCCCTCCCAACGCCACCTGGTAATCCCCAGCATGATTTATGGGATTGCGTACTGAGCTATAATGCAGAACACAGCAGCTAGTCTTAGATAACATAACATTTTTTGAAGTCTCTCCAGCTCTCTTGCTTCTGATTGTTTAACTGAAGAGAATTGGGAGGAAATTAAAACACACTGAGATGTTCACCTCGTCTTCATCACATATTCCCACTAGGGATGGGAACGATTAATCGAATATTGAGTTATGAATATATATATATATATATATTTTTTTTTTTTGGGAGGGGTGTCTAAGTTGATTACATATTATCAAATGGAATAATTCAATGTATAAGACAGTGCCATAGCTAAATGTGTTAGGTCTAAAGGTGTGTTTTGCTCCGCTCACCGGTCCCTCACAGCGGGCAGAGCTGCAGGTGCTGATCTCTCTCTCTCTCGTGTCCGGTTATACTTCACTCGCGTTTATGTCCAAATCCATCAGAAAACCAAGTTATGTTTTAAGCATGAAAGCTGTAGGCCTATAGCTGTCAACTGTTCAAACTCTGATCACCAGTTCAATACATTTGACAAATTCGACTTGGTTTCTATACTTATTTGAACATGTATTTATTTATTTTTCCAAAAAAAAAATTCACACAAATCTTTAAAAAAAATGTATAGGATATGTACATTTCGGTTAATCGGTTAACCGTTTTTTGGGGTGTCGAATATTCGAATATCAATTCAATGAATTTGCTTTCAAATTCCCATCCCTAATTCCCACATCCCAGGACAGAGGATGTAACAGAGAGTGTGGCTGCAGTGGTAAGATATGACTGTGCAGCTGCTGGGGGGGGATGCTGCTGCTGCTGCTCGCAGAGGTTAACGAATATGTGAGGTTACATGTACAGAGTGTACATGTGATGGAGGACACTGCAGGGCAGAGCATACATACACTGACTGTGTACAGCTGTATGATTAGCAGACAAAACAAACACATCTTAAGTTCTATTAGGCCATATTACATCTTGAAATGAACTGTGTTGTTCGAAAAAGGTTTACAAATTGGCTGGTAAATGACTTAAAATGATTAACTGATTGTCAATATTGTTTCCACGGGCTGATGGAGCATTATTCCTACATATAAATAGTTTGCCTCCTACAGTATGCTTGCTGCTGCTTCAACATTTGCTTTGGTCACATGGTGCACAATACGCCTTGTTATTGAGGAGGAGAACAAGGAGAACGCCGGGACAAAGAAAACAGAGGACACGAAGAGCGAGGAGGAAGTGAGAGAGCACACACACACACACACACACACACACACACACACACACACACACACACACACACACACACACACACACACACACACACCACACACACACACACACACACACACACACACACACACACACACACACACACACACACACACACACACACACACACACACACACACACACACACACACCACACACACACACACACACACACACACACACACACACACACACACACACACACACACACACACACACACACACACACACACACACACACACACACACACACACATACACACACACACACAC